AACCCAATACATGCTGGATTTAGGTGAGAAAGGATCCACAGGGGACTAGTTATGGTTCTTGGATGCAAGAAGAGTTTATGCAGTGACCCTGCCCTTGCTTGAGTTCCTTTTGAGTGGAATTTAAAGAAAAAAAATCTTAGCAGGATTGAAAAGGTCCTTGTTTGTAGCTGAACAGACTCAGATTAAAGCCAGGACTTTTGGAAGAGTTCTAGAAATATGTAAGGATGAAAAACCCAACGAAGACCTGTGAGCATACTACATACAGACCATCAGTTCCTTTGTAGGCAACCAGCTGTTAGGGCTGGTTCCTCATACAGCCGAGTGCACAGTAAGTACTTATTTCTGAGGGCCAGATCTCTGGTTATTGCGTGAGCTCGTTACTGGTACCTACAAAATAAGCCAGAAATCTGTATCTTCCTGTGAAATATACAGACAACCTGGCTCATGGTTTTCTTGCCTTTCCTTCTTCCAAGCTTCCAAAGGAAGTATATAGGGCATAGCACCATCAGTGATGCCTACTGCACATCAAGAAGCATCCAAAAATTAGGCGTGTGCTGTCCTCCAACTGTTTATGTTACGGCAGGGTTTTTTTAACATATGATGTCACATGTCCTATAGCAAGACATGTCTACACCGAGACTTCTGGCACGTGCGCTGCGTATCCTTCTGTGCGTGGAAAGGCTGCGGAGCTTGTGTTGCTGCTGTCGTCAGAGAGCACTTGCTGGTAACGTGTCTGTTCTATCACCTACCAGGCCGTCCAGTTCTCCAGTGAAGGCGTCTGTCAAGGAAAGGCAGTTACGCTGGTATGGGCTACACCAAGCAGTGATGAGCTATACATCCTCCCTGCACCTACACACTGAGGTCGTATAGCAAAGCTCGTGTAAGCGAGTGAGGTTTGCGCAGTGATCCATGAGCTTAAGGTTTCACATGAAGAGAAGAGAGTGGAATCCCTTGCTACCCAGAGTTCTTCAGACTGTGTTGTCCTTGCCTGTTTGGCAGTGACGCAGAGCTGTACGTGCCGTATGCAAAGGACACGCCATACCCCACCAAGAGCACCCGATGAGAGACTGTTCATCGGCCCTTTTTCTGGCCACAGATTACTGACCATGGTTACTGCAGTGACACTGCATCCCTCTGCCCCAGGTAGGAGAAATCCTGGGTGTCTTCTGATGGCGCGGTGTCGGCAGAGTGTAAACAGACCCTCACTCATCCCCTCCGTAGATGTCTGAATCCTGTCAGAGCCAGGGTGAGCCTGGCACAGCCGGCATTACAGCCAGGTCATCTCCCGCTGGAAGCTCGGGCCACTCGGCTCTCGGGAACTGAACAACTCGCCACGTAACCTCATACGTGGCCTACGTCGTCTTTAAGGCAGGGACGCTTGTGGAAAACTCAGGACCACAGCTGTTGCAAAGATGGGGATATTCGAATGTGAAGTGTTGCAGGTCAGTTCTTCCTTCCACTGATCACTGACAGGGGAGGACAGGAAACAGCAAACAACGCCACACACATGACGTCGTAAGACTGAGACTTGCCTTGCAGGGAAGTGAGGATGTTATAGACATCCCGGGGGAAAAAAAGGTTATTAGTGGAGCACAATAAAATAGAATGAAAACAGTAACAAGAGGAAAGAAAAAGACCTCAACGCAGCGTTTTATCTACCTAATCCCCAGGCTGGCTGTAAGAAACAGAAGGACTTGGTGCACGTCCTGCTCAATGTCAGCTGTAGCGAAGAACGGATCTGATCGTAGAAGTGCACACGGACAAACTTTTGAACACTACTTTGGGAAACTGCTGTCTATTTGGGCAAATTGGCATTAGATTCCTCACTGAGGAGTTACTATCACGGACACGGACCTTGGGAAGATCCCACTTATACCTACTCTGCAGCGGAACGGTACATTTGTAGTCACGAGTACACACAGCATCACACGGATCAATCAGGAACAGATAGACTTTTGTACGAAACTGGCTGCCATAGCTCAACTCCTGATAAACATGCCTGACGTCAGAGAAAGAGTAAACACAGACACTGGATATCAATACTGTTTTAAACAAAAAAGGTGTCTTTTTGGTGTTCTCCAGTGGTCCTGCAAAAATACAGCTCTGTATCAGAATGCCTGCCTCGGGTCTGCTCGAACACCCTGTTAATTAACCGCGCTCCAGACGGAAGCGCAGGAAGGCTGTAACATACGCACGACATGAGGAATGCCTCCACCAGGCAACCAAAAGCCATACCAACCTTCTACTCTCTTTTTGTGGAGCGGTGGTCGGCCTTTCTTATTCCTCACTGAAGAGGCTTTGCTGCTGCTGCTCCCACTGTTGACAGACATCCTGTCATCCTCGCCACCCGTAACCAGCGAGTTCCTGTAGGAGATGAGTGGCAGCCACACATCTTCCCTTCTCTCCATCATCTGTTCCGTCAGGAACTTCTCCAAGTAGGAGTGACTGAAAACAAAAGGCAATGAGTAAGCACAGAGGCGCAGCACACCGTTTCCTCTTTAACTCATCTGCAAGCGCTCTTCTCATTGTGGAGAGCTTCACACAAAGCCCACACAGTGTCTCCTTGTCTTCATTTAATAACACACGCCGGTAAGGCGTTGTATCTCTGACCGAACACGCATACGTGTAACTCCCTCAAAATAGCATACGTGTAACTCCCTCAAACTAAACGTTACTCACAGATACACAATACAAAACGTTCTCTCCCCAACACCTTCCCCCCCGTTTCTCTGCGATCCCTCACAGCACACCCTACTTCAATTCCTTTTCTGTGCTGCATGGCGAGGAACCCGCTGCCGCATACGGCTGCTGTGTCACCACAGACTGAATCAGAACCACCGTGGTGAGGAGGCAGAGCATCCTTTGGCACCGTGGGACAAGAAGGATGGTTTCCTCAAACACAATCAGTTCTTTGGCAGTTAAAAAACCAGGAAGATCTGTTCCGCTGCCTTGGAGAAGTCCAACGCACACTTGTTACAGGAGGAACCCAAACCCCTCCCTCCTGTACACAGTCTGGAGGGCATCCGGGTTGCTTCCTTTCCCACTGATTACTTAATTATGGTATTAGTAGTCGTCCTTAAAATATGCCACACAGAAGTGACTAATGAACTTCAAGCTGCAGAACCCAGCACGCAGAAGTTAGGCAAGAGACCTCAGGATTCTTCAGCCTCACCTCTACCCCTCCTGCAGGTACGTTAGGGCGCACCCTTCTATCACGATTTCGCTTCGTACCACAGTGCCCGCTGTCACCAGTGGGAGTCAAATCCACAAATTCTGCATGGAAATAACCTCCCAATCTCCCTTTGCCTCTGCCAGCTCATGGCAGGCTCAAGCTTCTCACGTGGACTAGGTATACGGAGAGGACAAGGAGCCACGCTGTATATGCCTGGGTAACAACTGCATCCAATTTTTAATGGAATTTTGCTTCCATTTGGTAAGTTGGATGACTTTGCTCAAGAAGCAGCAGTTTTTCTGTTTACTGTTTTATTCAGAATCGTGGCTGCTTCTTCCCTCCCCCATTTCACATGTATTTTCCTGTGTCTACTGAGTAACATCCAAACCTTGCACTGACTAGGAAGCTCTTGGTTTCTTCTCTCTCTTTCACAGTACCAAGCAGTGCCACATCCGAGCGTGTCACAGCTTCCGAGAGTTTATCTGCGCAACAGTCTTGGGAAGTAAGAACTTTGCCATGTCCAACTTAGAGTTATAAACCTAGAGTTGCACAGGTTGTGACCAAACTGTGAAGAAGGAAAAACCACACCACTTGGGCGTCCTTTACTGATCAGATGTAACCAAACTTGCGACAACTTCTGCTCAGCGTTTCAGAGGAGCTTCGGACAGGCAGTTCTTGCCAGTGTCAACCAGGCTACAGACTCTGAAGGTCCAGAAGTAGGAACACCATGCTGAGGCTCCCTCTCCTCTGACTTCAGAACCCAGCAGTCAGCTGTTCGTCTAAGCCAACAGCCTCTGTTTGAGAGAAACAAATGGCAATAAATGCCTCCACGGGGCAATTGTCCTCTACCCTGCGTTAGATGAACCCCTCAGGATTCCCCTGCCCGTACCTGCCCTGGGTGTTGGTAACTGCGTTGGCAGAAATCCTTTTCTGCCAAGTGGAAGAGCCTTAAATGTACAGTTTATATTAAATCCATGGATTTGAATAAATCCATAAATGGCTATCAGTGATTCTGGAGGTTACTCATAAAACAAGAAGCTGAATAAATAAATAGGATAGGAAAACTAAGTTTAACCAGTCCTGCTGCCCTGTTCCCAAACTGGAAACCTCTCCCTTTTCTCCCTCCAAATAAAAAAGCCGGCAGTACGGCAGTGAGGAAGCCCACAGAGGAGCAGTGCTCACTGACCTGCCACAGGAATGGTATTTTGCACCAAGGGCAGATGACACAGGGCGTATCAAGCAGAAAATTCCTATTTTTGGGTTGGGAAGCCAAGCTGGAGGACTTGCGGGAGAAAGGCAGATACATGCCCGTGAGACGTGCAGGATTGTTCTAGAGCACTTTTGCCTCCAGACTAAGAGCCCATTGCTGAGAGCGGCTTGGCAAGAGGAGAGCAGGCCCAGAAGGAGGTAAATGGTCCTGTAGACGGGGCTTCTCCAGCAGATGGTGGTCACGTACCTTCTGTTCACAGCAACCCCTTTGGAGGGCGGGGAGAAGCCCCTCTGGATTGGAGGAGTCATGCTACCGAGCAGGGCAAATCAACTAGCCAGAGCAGAGCAGGGCACTCAGCAGATGGGCAGAGCAGCCATCGCCTGATGGCTGTGAACAGGACAGGTCTGAGGCAGGAACGCCGCCATCTCCCAGACAGCTTTACATACAAGCTCCGCTCTTCACAGTCACCTCGGCCAGTGGAATCTAGGGCAGGTCTGAACTCATCTTAAAGCAGGAATTCAGCACAGATCAGAAAATCATGTCCTGAATTTCACTGATCTTCAAATTCGGCTAAATAGCTCAGGTGACCACAAAAAAGACAGCTAAAGCCAGGAGAAATGGGTTCCATCACAACAATCTTTCCAGCCCTGCGAAAATGCCGGTGGTTGTCTATGTGGGCACCAGTGAGTGGAGAAAGGACGGATGGCAACCCAGAAGGCTAAAGAACAAGTCCTCCCGAAATAGTGAATTCTGCACAAAGGATCGGGTCCAATTAAGCTGTCACGTAACTGTACGGAACGATGTAACTTTAAACTTCAGACCCTGGAGACCTTTGCGGCAGGGATGATTACTGTACAGGAGGGAGAAGCGTCATGAAATTAAACAGGAATCGGGCTAATGACACTTGAACTAACAGATGCAGGAGAACCTATGGTTCAGCTAGGAAGACAGTCATAAAATCCTATTATCCTTAAGTCCGGCCCCAAATAACAGGAGAGCGCTTGACAAGATTCAAGGACATAACAAGGAAGAGCAGTTCTGGAAACTGAGTGCCGTGCTAGCCCAACTGGATCATCCAATTCTCAAGCTCGTTTAACTATTTCTTCTACTGCGTTTGTTGACTTGACAAATCACCGACACAATAAAATCATTAAATTGGTTGTTCGAGTGTGTATACATTAAAAATTACACAGAGTTAACCACGATGCATTTCTTGTGACACAGCTAAAACTAGAACGTTTGTAAGTGTTAACAAAAAGTCCTTGAAAACAAGCATCTTCACAGAAAAACTACAGAAAGGTCTGACAGGAGGGGTCAGTGGAGGGAGTTATAGTGGACACACGACTTACACTCACTGTGGTCAGAAAACTGACTGGAGAGGTATCTATAGCCGTAGAATCAGAAGATTTGGCAATTGCGTTTTTTAAATGGTCGCAGAGTTACCCAAAGAGTTCAGTTCTACGCTGGGCACTTAGTGCTTGGCTGGTTATTGACTGGAGTCCTCTTCCTGTTTCCCTCACTACTTCTGCGCTGCGGCCAAGTCCCGGGCATTTCCTACGTCACTCGTTAGAAATGTCGAGCGTTCTCTCCGCAGCGATGCCGACAACATGCCCTCCTGCAGGCAGCTCTGCTCTCTGCCAGTTCTGTTGACACCCACAGCCCCTTCCCACAGTGTTCAAACGTTGCTCATGAAACGGTGTTTCTCGCTCTTTGTTCAGATCTTATCCACAACACCACTGATTTATTTCACTCCCAGTAGTTCATCTGCAGTAATTACCCGCCGTAACAAATGCAGGCTGCTGGTTTTAGCCTCCCAGGCCTCTACCACCCTGCTCTGTCCCACCCAACAGTGGTGTCCTCTCTCAGCCTCTCTGTCCTGTTGTGCCCGTAACAAAGCCTTGACAAACCCTTATTTCCCAGCTTAACCCAATATATTAAAATAAACAACAAATACATGTTTATGTTTTATGTAACTATCTAACAGAAACAGATGTTACTGCAGTGTTTACAGGTCTATAAATTTCCTGCACTACTAAAATTTCATTTCTTTTTATTTCTAGCTTAAAAAAAAAGATTGTTTTTTATTTTCAGCCCCACGGGAAATTTTAAGGCACAATGTTTTGTGAGGTCTCAAGCTCACCTCATCAGAGGATGCGATTCCCCTTTTCTCATTTATTACTTTAAAATATAAAATGATTTATAACTGTGCATGTGAAATGTCTCACTGGGACTTGCTACAGTCCCGTCAGATGGTGAAAACCTCGAAGCCGAGAGCTCACACTCACGCTGCAGTGACTGACAGAGCCCAGCAAAGCCCGCGGGGGAAGGGGAGCGGTACTTACACAGTCTTCTTGTCCTGCCGCAGGAGCTTAGAAGAGAATTCGCTGAGCACTTCAAGGAAAGCGAGGTTAGGAGGCGGATAGTCTTGTCCTTTTTGATTCTGATATTTGAAGGCAAACTCTATGCCGTCTCTACAGTAAAGAAGGATTAACATTTTCAGATGTTTGTAACAAAATAAAAAAACCCATCATCCATCGCTTCTAAACGCTGCCCAAAATCTGATCTGCGCATCATGGTTTTTGTTCAGTTCATAACTGGCAAACAGCTGCTTTTCGACCAAGGGGAATCAAACGTCCCCCCTTAATTCGCGAGGATTCCGCCTCTAAGCCAACATGTGGCCAGCTGCAGGGTAAGACAGAACTACCACAGCCTAAGAAACTGCTCGGGCGCTGAAAGCCACTGCCTTAGTGGAACAGCCAACTGGCTCTTGCTTCTTTCGGCATGAAGCAGAAGCTTAGAGTGGGAATGGCAGGTGAGATAGAACAAGACACAACTTCTGCATCGAGAGTCAGGGAAGAGAATCTTCCTACCAGTACATCAATATGTTCATTGCTGCCTCATCTTTGCTTTGTCATTTGAAACAAGAAGAAAACAGTTTATTTGCACATCATCCAGGAAGGGTGCGTGCATGTCCTGACCTCTCTTGGGTCTGGCGCAGGAAAGTGTCTGGTAGTGTTTAGATCATACTTTGCTAATCTTGAGTCTTCAAGACTCAGTCTCTCTTAACTTTTATGTGGCATGGCAAAGTCATAGTTCAAAGTTAGCGGCACCTTTCTGCACTTTCCCACACAGCAGCAACATAAAAAGTCTCAATCCACTTGGAAAAAAAAAACACCCCAAAGATTTCCAAAGTGGTTTTAGAATATCCTTTTATAAAAGCTGCTGGTGCCTACGGAACCCACAGTGGTGTGGTACGAAGAACTGTCTACAGTTGTTAGATACAGCCCACACAAACACCTACAGTACCAGTGGCTTTACCAGAGATGAACATGGCCATTCCAATAAATTCCAACAAATAATTAGGTAGCAGCTAGTTTTTCCTCCATTCTTTCACACCTACATGTGCATCTCCACCATTTTTCTACCATAACCAGAGAAACCACATCACTGCTCCAGGAGCTGTTAAGATGCTGTGCCTTTAGAAGAGGCAAGCCGAGCAAAGCTCATCATCTGAAGTAATATAAAAACCTAGTTTATTTACCACCACTCACTTGTGTAGTGTGGCCACAGCCTCGCGCGTCTTGATCTGATCCAAGCCAAAAGTGAGGGCAAACCGACGGGCCAGTTCCTTAATTCCACTAACGTGGGCAGATGTCCTGTCCAAGTTGGGACCTTGCTCCTGAACGAGCTCGTTAAACAGCTAGAGAGAGAATTCAGCTGTTAAACCGGTGACCTGGGAAACACCTTTCTTGAGAGAGACTTGTGTTCCCGAGCTGTTACGGCCGAGAGAGACACTGCAGTGACTTTTCAGAGGTGTGACAGAGCTCTCTTCCACTCAACTTCTAATCCACTTGGCTTTCCAGACACTGTTCTCTGTAACTGCTACTTGCCACTGCCCCCCATCTGGTACTTGTGTGAACTGAATTTTGCACTTACCGTCACGGAACTGCATCTATTATTCTCCCAACCCACCAAGACGTTTGGGCAATCTTGTGCTGTTTTGTGAAATACCTACATCGCCCATCAGATCGGCATCTTCGATGAATTTAGGAAGCAAAATTGCTATTCCATCATTCCAGACCTAATGAACAGCTGAACAGCGTCCCTGGGCAAACGCCTCCAGAGCCTGCTTGATGATGCCCTTTCCGTACAACGGTGAACTACTCAGCACTTTTCCAATCCGTCCTACATCTTTTCCTGGCATTGCCCTTTACACCACGTTTTCCTGACTTGCTAATGAGAACACCAAGGGAAACAGTCTCAGGGACAGTATTACATCAAGTTGCATTAAATCGACTGTTTCCCTGATATCTCCATTACCACAGAATTAATGAAAGCAGCTTAATTTGACATGACTTCTCCTTGACAAATTCATACTGGCTGTTACCTGTCGCTTAGGCACTTGCAAATAGCTTGTCTGGGGGGCTTTTTGGACAAAGTGATGTTGGGCTGACTGACCTAAGCACCCGGCTGCTTCCTCTCCCCAAGTGTTGAAGACGGGGGCTGCTTTGACACTCGCCGATCCTTCTGGAAGCACGTACGTCTTTCTCAGGTTTTCACAGCTATCTCTCAGCTTCCAGATTGCTACAGGAAATCCCTTCATACTCTGGAATGAAGCTGGGGAGCCTCAGCTGATTTGAAAACATCTAATGTATAGGAGTAATTTCTCTGTGTAATGGATAGAGCTGGCACTCCAGGGGCTGAATGGTATTTAGTGACGCACCCACTCGGTGCTGTGGGCAGAACAAGGATGGATTTCATCATCACGACGACAATTTACAGCTGATGTAAGGCAAAATTTTCAGGGGAAAAAGCATGTTTAACAATATTGCACAATTTAAACTAATTAGCTAGAAGTTTGAAAAAATCAATCAGTATTTACACAAAATGTAAGGAAAATGTATTACTTCCAGCTAATTATAAGAAAAAGTCATCCTAATTCTTCTTGTTCACTAGGTACCCGTAAACTGCGAACGCTGTGAATCAGCTTGGACCAAACTGCTTCAAGGCTCCTCTCTCCCCCCTTCTTCCATGTCTGACCGACACTTGAGCAGTGTGGGCTTAAGGAGACAGGGATGGCAGAGACAAAGGAACGTGACAGCCCGCCTTGAGGAGCAGCATGATCTCCTAACAGAAGCATGGCATTTTTCACTTCATTTCACTTCATTGTAAAGGACACCAGAGAAGATCCTGTCCCCTACTTCACTGCAGTGAGGCATTTGTAACAAAAATAAATATTCTTACCTGCTGCAAACTGAGAATGAGTGTCTTTGCACACTGGATTTTATCAATTTGCCTTGTTTTGCTCAGGGTTTCCTTAATGATATCCCCATAGTCATTGTAGTACTAGGAAAAAATGGGGGGGAAAAAAGCTCTTTAAATCTTTAAATTGAACTTTTTATACAATTTCTTACAATTTTACTGATAGAAAGATCACTTGTAATTCTTGTTTTGAAAAGGCAGCGGTTGCCAAAAAACCCAGTCTCAAATCCAGATTTTTTTGTGAGTGGGAAGCAATGATTCAATACCAAAATTTTGACCGATTGGTAGCCTGTACCCAGTGACCTTCTGTGTTTGTTTTTAACTTTTGTAACAAACCTGTTGAAAAACAAACCCAAGAGCATTTCCCACCCAAACCCAAGTATTTGATGGAAGTGACCCAGGGCTGCGCATTCTAAGAAACAACACTGCATGGAACCAACTCTCCCTTCAACGAGTGGGTGTGAGCAGACACCAGCGCCGGTGTGCAAAGCTTCGTGTTCAATTCAAGGTGAGTGAGGTGGCCAAGAAAGGAACTCACTGAAGCCAGAAAGTAAGGAATGAGTAGTATGAAGTGCTGATTTTATGTTAGAAGAATGGTCGCTGAAGACCACACCCTGTGGTACTGATTGTTTGGGTAGAAAAGCTTGTATAATCATTAAAACTTCCAGGCTGAGAGGATACATTTTTTTCTCCAACCAGTATTCTTTCAGCCTGAGGAATATTTCTGCATTTGCAAGCACTTATTTTTATTCCCTCTTAAATATCGCTCCTGCCCTCTTTGGTACAGAGATCCTCCTAGTCAGCACTCTAATTTAAATCCCGTTTCTCTCGCTCTCCCCCAGGTACAGGAGAAGGAGTGGCGTGGGGAGAGAAGACCAGTCTAGAGCAGCAGGTAGGAAACGTAACCTGGATGGTGACAGCTTCAGTGTGAAATCCCTGTGCTGGAAAACTCCCTCAGCAAGACTAAGGCTGGCTTGGCTGATGGCTAGGGCGTGCACTGGGGACTTTATTGCATGGTGTACCCCGGAAGAACAAGGAGGATTTAAAGTTAAATCCTTTCCATTTCACATCAACATCTCAAACAGTATCTAAAGTAAAGGACCTGCTCCCCACTCCAGGTTTTCCTCCTCGATTGTCACCTTAATCCCTTAGGGAGAGCCAGGTGAGGGATGCCTGGCAATCTGAGGGCATCTGGGGGCTCTGTGTCGCTTGGCAGCGTGAGGGCGGTGAGTGTGCCTGTCTGCTGGCAGGTAAGCTTGCCAGCACCGGCTGCGGTGGGAGCTAAGCAGCAAGTCTTGCTGAACGTCGCTGGCCCGAAGCGCTGTACGGAAGCAGCGCCAAGCTGGGATGGCATTCAGCGCGTTCTCACAGAAAATCCTGACGGCGAGCACCAAGACTGGGAGACTCTGGGTGCAATGTGACATTGTACAGGTAACTGTTCCTGTGGATTCTAGGAATGAATTCAGGGAGAAGGATAAGAAACTCTCTGTAGAGGGGAGCCTCTCTGGCAATGCTCAGCACCTTGTAGGACCAGCTTTTGGTGCTGCTTTTAATAAGGCACTCCCGCTACACAGGAGAGGAAGTTCAGAGCTTACTGCTTCTCCGTGGCAGGCGTAATTTAGAAAGGAAAAACTACTTACAAGAAATTAAGGAAGGCTTGAAAAGCTTTCAAAAGCATTCAACCTGTAACTACTGCACTGGAAGGGAGAGAAACCGGTGAGCTGACCCTACAAGCTAAGTTCAGTTAGGGAGAGGAGAAAACACAGAGCTGTACCTTCATATAGTGTTTGAAGATATCCGCTGCTGCATGCATGTCCACAATGTCATAAATTATCAGCTTGCTGAAGGCAGCCAAAAGGTTTCTTCTCTTATGTAAAGCTTCTATTTTGTTAGCTTCATCTTCTTCATCTCCCTCTGAAAGCATCGACAGCAATGAAAATGTTTGACTGCTGTGTTGCAAAGCACCGTTATCACAGAGCAGCTTTTAGAAAACATCAATTCCTCAAAATAAAGCAAGGGTTGGTTGTTTGTTGCAGGAGAAGATAAAATGAGCAGTGGTAATTACTGGGTCCCGCCTATGTAAGGACCTCCAGGAAAGTTCAGGAATGTGACACACCACTGACCAAGGATGCTATCTGTGGTCCTGACTTTATGGAGTCAGAGTAGCATTAGGAAATAGGGATCACATGCAAAGATCTTGGTCCACCTTTTCACTGTCTTCCCAGTCCAATCACAGGATGTTAAAGAACAGCAATTTTGCTAAAGAGCAAAAAAAAGTTAGGCACTGTTCTCCTAACTCTGTCCTTGGTGTATTATTCTGAGCACTGAACTCACAAGTGTGATAGCACACAGATTTCTGGTGAAGGTGTGTTTCAAAATGTATTCCTCCCAGGAATCCTTAAAGAGATGCTCAACAAAGGTATTGGCTACTGATGAGCTAGAAGACTGAAAGCACCTTTAGAGCAAGCGTACATGCCCCGAGACCTTAGTTCTATACACCACTACCTTAAAAAGATCCAAAATAGCACCTATGTGCCATGCTAACATACAAGTAACTGAGTTCAGCAGAAATTCAGAAAACCTGCCAACAAGAGCACTGCAGTATGCAGTCAGCAGCTCTTTCACAGTGTGACTATCTGGGAATCCATCCCTTCTCCAAAGCTATTTAGGATTCAGAAATCAGGTACCTCTGTACTTGCATTTTAGGCATTTACAACGCATACCAGCAGCACCAAATTATCTAAAACCAGACCTAACTGACAAATCTGCCTCTCCCAGACTGAAAGCCAAAAATCTCAAGTCATCCTTGTGAGGATGTGGAGATGGGGTCACCTCCAAGTCCGGCCTCTCAAAGCACGGCCACCACAGATGCCTAGGAAAGAGCAAGGAAGCACACACGATACTTCCCCAGCTACCTTCCTAGTCTCCAACCAAATCAATGATGTCCTGGGCTTGATTTTGTTATTCTGGGGGAGGAGCAGAAGGGGTGTTTATTTAGTAACGTAAGAGTTTTTTAAGCCCTTCTTTGCGTAGAGCTTTGCTGGTACAGTCTGCTTTTAGAATCCTGTAACTCTGCTTAGTAACTAAAGGATTTCTCTTCTCTGTACTGTTCCAGTGCAGTTCATTCAAGCTGTATTAAATGAAGTCTGCTGGTGGACTAAGACTGTACTGCTTTAGAAATAAATATTAAGAAAAATATAAATCAGTAGAAGAACAATTTTGTTCAGATTTATAGCATGTCCTCTGAAAACACCTCTTTTAATGAAGTGAACTTTGTAAGTACTTGTTCTTCTTTAACACTAGTAGTACTGATTGTTTCACATTTACATCTCTCAAAAATAAAGGAGGAATCATTCTGAAAACATTTGAGCAAACTGAACTGAAAATTCTATTTTCTTCTTCCTTCTGTGTCTGTTACGAAAAAAGGCTAAGTAGAAAATATGAAAGCCAAACATACCCATGCTCTGGTTTTCATCGTCTTGGTCAATAAAGACATGGTCCATCACAAAACTGAGAAGTTCTGACTGGAGACCTGAGTCTGGATTAAACACCAAAGGCTGAAGACCTTCACGACCTCCAGTCATCAGCTGATGACTAAAAATCATCAAGAGATCACAGAGCAGCATGAAAGCCTGAAAGGCAACAGCAAATGAATGCAGTAAGAAGCCTAAGTCAAGTATATAAAGAATAAAATACCATTTATCTAATTTCCAGATATCCCCAGGTATATTAGAAGTCCTTCCTGAACCACACTCCATTGTAGCTGTTTGTGGGCTGTGAGAAGTGTTCACGAGGTTTTCCTCTAATTTTAAAATGTTACACCTCTGATTCCTATATAAGGAACTGTGTGTTCCACCTCCTCGGTGTCCAGGATGATCCATATTAAACTTCCATTTCTTCTCTATGAAAAGAACCCTAAGTAAATCTACTTCTGATCCAAGGACTGTGGCCAAATTTGTAGTAAAGAAAAAACATTTTTGATAAACAGTTAGAAAAGTTAAACAAGCAAAAATGTGAGTAACATTATGAGTGAAAATGCAAGCTGAGTCACTGTCAGATCCCGAAAATACAGAGAAGCAGCTGTAAGCAAAGAAATCCTTGCAAAATTTCATCAACGAATCTCTGCAAAACAAATGAAGTTACTCTGCACAGCTTTCAAATGTAGACAAAGGCTGACCAGGGCAGGATTTTCAATGATTGATGCTCATTACTATCGTACCCTCGTTACCTGAGAACAGAGAAGGAGGGCAGCTACTAATAGGTATTTCCCTCAAGGGCGTATCTGTATACTCTCGTGCAGAGACCACCACCGCTCGCCCCCATGGCTTATGTCGGAGAGTCACAGCCAGCTGTACTCCGCTGCGTGACATTCAACACCTGAGCACCTTTCAGAATGTACTTTTTAATCATCTTGGTTTCTCTATCTTTAAACCCCAGGTTCTGAAAACTGAGGAGGAGAGGAAGGTTCAGAGAATGAACGTGTAACGTGCCGTCTCTGCCCCAGAAGCCTCAGGCAGGGCAGTGTCCATCACCAGGCAGGTGGTAGGCCCAAGGCGTTTCCAGCTGAAGAGAGACTGCAGGATAGCTCTGACAGAGTCAGGAAATCCAGTGAGGCTTTAATTCAGCCCCACATCCCTCCTCTACAAACAGCTGCACAGAAAGATAGCTAACTGAGTGTTTAAACACATTTGTGAGCTGAGCCTGAGGAAAAGTAGGGAGTGAGAGCAACCCGCTCTACAAACCTCCAAAATGAAACCTCTGTGAACGCTGAACGTCGAAGCAGCTCACTTATTTCTCGGGGTATATTACAAAATCTGAATGAGCTACACTTGGGCAAGAACAAAATGCCCATCATTGTAAACTATGTTCTACTTTGGAGACAAATGCCAGTATTTGGGATTTTTCTCCACTGGATCCAAGAAGCTGTGATTCACTCCAGTGATGATCTCAGCTGCTCTAAACTCCTTTGATACTAGAATTTATGCTCATCCTAATGCAGACCTCTAAAACCAGCATATGAATATTGCACCGAAAAAGCTTATTTCTGTCCAATACGAAGACAGCAGTGGAGTCAGATACAGATGTCAATACTGTAGATACATCTAGTCACAGGAGATGTATTTCACTCAAATGGTCTAAGAAAAATTGAAATGGTTGAGTCCTTTTTCTATAAATTCTTAATATGTTTTTCCTGCCTTTGATATTTACCTTGATCTCCTCTGCAAAGAACGTATAGATTAAGAATCAGATATGGTAGGGAGACAAAATAGTTTGTACAGAATTCTTAAAAATTCCAGTAAAACAAAAGGATTAAAGAAGCAGTCCAGCACTTGCAGAAATACACTTTTTAAGGAAGAAAATGAAAAAGATCATGGAAGCGTTACTTGGAAGGGACCTCTAGAGCCTCTAGTCCAACCTACTGGGACAGCTGCTGTCTCTGGGTCTGGTTGGTCATGGTTCTGTCTAGCGGAGGTTTGAAAGCTTCCACAGGACTGAGGACTGCAAAGGAGCTTCTAAGGGAAGTTTAAATTACCGATGACAACTGTGGCCACTAATAATAAGAGACTGAAAACAGGTTCCTGTAGATCAAGAACACAAACCCTGCAGTAATGGGAAGGATCATCTACCATTTGTTGATGCAGAGAAGACATTAGTGCTATCTTCAGCTAGAACGGCTGGTATTTTCATGAAGCTAGATGATATTGTCACATTATATCATATTAATAAAGTATGCAAAGAGTAACTACTCACAATATTAAAAAACAATTACTGAATCTAAATCTGCTGAAAGACAATGACACGTCACAGTCTTTTAAAAATACATAATCTAGTGACATCTCTGAGCCTGTAATCATTATCAACTTGCAGAACACAGTGTAAATGGCAAGCAGAGCTATCTTTCCAAAAAATAAAACTGTCTTATAAAAAGTATTACCATTTTAAAAACACAGGCAAGAACCACAGGGCTGTTAGTTACAGTCCTTGCAAAATCTTGGGAGCTCTGATAGAAATGCAGTTTATGAACAACCAAAAAATGTCCAAGACCTGATATAAATCAGCATATATTCATAAAATCTCAGCAAACAAACCAACTACTGTGCTTTTCAGACTGCGAATTATTTCAACAAGTTCTTGGATTTCTTTTCTTTCAATTTCTCTAGACACAGAGCAGAAGCTTCCCGCTCCCTGCCTGCATGGCTTTCCAAAAATCTCAACCGGAGCACTGGATAACTTCACTGAACCATAAAAAATCTGATACCTCACTGTGCAATCATATTTCACACATACACTTTCAGCCTGTGCACACACCCCCCTGCAGAGAGATGCATGCGCTACCAGACTGGGCAGTGCTGTTCAGCCAGCGATAATGGTGATATTGATGAGATTCTGAAAACCCCTCCAGGTCTTTAGATAAGGTATTTTACTCTGATTTTGCAAGGAAACATCACTAATCGTGAAGTCATGATTTTTGCATAGTGTGAGGGGACACCACGTTCTTAGCATAATTCAGAGTATTTTTGTAAAATGAAATAACTTTTTTTTCTGCTAGAAAATATGCAGCAGTATGACCCATGCTGCTAGAAGCCCCAATTTTCTCCCATTAGTCATAAGGGGAGAGAGATATAATAATTAGTGTTCACCACTACATTTAACTGAATTATTAGGATAACAAAATAACGAAGTATCATGGAGGCTTCAGACATTTCCCTTCGGCAGGAAGGCCGTGACTCTACACTCCCTGTACATCAATACTAAGGAGAAAATCCCAGGAATGTGCAGAGAAAGATTCAGCCCATTTGAGGTCTCAGTCCCGCTCTAAAACGCCCATTTCCATCTGTTTGTACAGTAAGCGTCTAAAGGAACAGGCTTTTATTTTAGGTGACTGACTCAGATGCCTAAAGTTATGACAGCTGAAGAGGAGCCTAAGCACCCAGGGAATCCTTACTGTTGTATCAAAAATGAATTTGACAAGAGCTGCATGTTGAAGGTGCTTTTAATACAGCTCTTCGGTGTGTTTGTTCAGCTTTGTTTAGACAGAAGGCACAGGTGATTTTACTGTAAGTTGGATATAGTGTCACCCTGAGTTTTACTACGGTTTACTACTCCCACTTTTCTAAAAGCATGTGACAGACATTTCCTTTACCTGTTCTTTGACTGGAGTGTTGACATTTGACAGACACTGCTGGCAGACAGCCAGAAAGGATTTCACAGTTTTCCTCAATACCAGCAAGTCCTCCTAGAAGGAATATAAAAGGGATAGTAGATAAACGGTAATAATAATAAACCAATACTTCCCTGAGTTAAATTATCTGCATTTTATATTGAATGCAAATTATACATGTTTCAGAACAAAAGGTTTACTACATCAAGGTCAGCCTACCGGGTGGTTTATAAAGAATCCTGTACTCAGATAAATCAATGTGTGCAAAAAGTAAAATACCAGTGACTGTCTCAAGTTCAACAAAAACATTATCATAACTGCCTGCAGACATGGGAAATGTGAAAGTAAACCCCAGAAACCTGATGAGTTATGGAAGAAAGAGCGAGATTGTTCATCTGGAGAAAGAAGGATGTATAGGTGGAAAAGAAAAGTGAATGACTTCTTGATCACCTTCATCTAGGGGCAAAGTACGTGTATTTTCAACGTACCAGAAGCGGCAGGTTCAACAGGAAAGCTCTTTACTTTGACCCGGGGGAATCAATGGTGTACCCTGAGGAGTACTTATTTTTTACAGGGAACAGAACAGCTTCTCAGCACATGCTTAAATAGTTAATCTGTTTTGCAGCAGCCATAAACCAAACACCATGAAGAAAACAAGAACCAGAAATCCCTAGGACTTGGCGTTAGCTTCAGGTTTTGTGGGAAGGCCTGGCTTTGGCAGCACAGATCACAGATTCCGTTACCCTGCATTGCTCAGGTGACAGACACACAGGCTCCTGCCTGCGGTACCACACCTGTGCCACCAGCAGTTCTGCCAGAGTCCCACAGATGACAGCATTTCCCGCATGCTCTTGGGCCAGTGCTTCCAAGATCTTTCCCTTCCACTGGTTTCACATAAAGAAGGGATCACAACAGCCACTAATTCAAGCCGAGACTGCTGGCCTACTGCTGCTTTCCTCCACGACACCTTTATCCGCTTTCCGAGGGAAGGCAATGTGCCCTGCAGAACCACATCCAACCTGCATCTAAACAATCTACGCAGGCTAAAAACTCCAATTTTCAATTACGCTGGCTGTTCGGTCCATGTGTCTCATTTCCAGTTTTAGCATCTCTTATTGCTTCCTATCATCAGAGCTTGTTACTCTTTGTTTACTGAAAAGCCTTTTTGTGGTCCATATGTTCTTCCCGTGCTGCTTCACAACAGACGGCAGGTCTGCAAGCCTGCCGAAGCACCCCAAGTGTTCCTAAATCTCTGAGCCTCTTACCATTTTCAGCAGAGTGAGTGGGATTTTCTGATGCAGACACTGATGGTCTGTGAGCTACCTCACCTTCCTATTCCCAGTAAATTTATCTTTGATAATAGAGCCAAGGATCCCTTTGTGGCACTGCATCACCCCACCATTACATCAGCTGTAAGACAGCTCTGCTCTGCTCTATTCTAACTCACAACTTTCCACACATCATCCTTGTTCCCAGATAGAAGCCTTCCATTTGGCAGCATTAAATGCCTCCTCCTTTTTTTTAATTTTATTTGGCTTACCTGTTGATCTGTATCATCCACATTTTAAATACCTTTGCTTTGCCTTCCCTGGTAAACACGATCAGTGTTTAGCAGAGAACAGATCTCTTCCTGAATGCATCAGAATCTATCCCCTTGTGTAATGATTTCCCACTTACAATTTTTTCCTAACACATTAATCGGCTTAGAGTGACTGAATTACATCCAATTCACATATTCGCCTAAAATACAATGTGATGCCAGTATCTTCCACAAACTGGCACTGCAACTGGTTTCCTTATCAGCCAAAAATGCAATCTTCTCAAGAGTAAATTTATTTGTTCCTTCTGGTCTTATCTGTTGGCCATGTCCCTTCTGCCCTTCAGCCCTGTACTACCACGTTTGCTATCAGCCAGTCCAAGATTTTACCTAGGACTGATGGCAGGCTTATCAGTTCATTGTTACAAAATAATCTGATTTACGGCTTAAAACACTGGGATTACAATCACTTTAATAACTTCCCACTTTCTATCACAACTATCTTCCACTTAGATGTTAATGATTTCAACAGAGAAACCAAAACCTGTGAAAAATCCTATATAAAGGTTAAAAAGTGAATGAGCATGTCTCCCATTTTTTTTGTGTCTAAGAATGAGTAACACACAGGAACACATTATTTATTATCCTCTCTCCTGATAGCAGGAGGAAGAATCGTTTTGAAGTTACAGACAGCAAAAGAAAGCCCAACTGAACAGTGCCACAGCCATCTGGAACTCTTCTCAGTTTGGAGAAATCCCCAGACTACTACAGAGCGGTAATTTTTTTTTTTTTTTTTTCAAAGAGAAAATGGGAAGAAAAGAATGAATTACATATTCAAGCCTTTTACCATTTTCAGGCACTCAGCCAAGGCTCCCAAGGTGAGATTACCTGATATGCTGACTTCAGAAAAACTGGTATAAGAAATTCTACTGTCCTCTTGGTTGCTGGGGTAGAACCATGGGGTCACACTGTGAACTGGATTTCTAAAATGACCCAGGATAAAAATAACCTTTTTCCGAACTGTACAGTGTAGTACCTTCTAATTTAACTAGTCCATGGCAAGAACAAGAACGAGCCGCTAAGAGCAAGGACTTGTTTTTGCTTTGCCACCACCTGCAACCCAACGCCTGTGCGCACAAGACTGCCGCCCAAATTTCTGCGGTTATTTTCTAGCTTTAAAGCTTGGTTTTCCCATTGAAGCCAATCTTACCAGAACCACCCATCCCACCCGCAAGCTCCCTGTGAGAAAACGTACACTTAACAGCAGAACATACCTGATTCAGAAATGTAAAACTTGCCAATATAGGCCCACTAGCCCCAAACTAAACACCTTCTCACACAGAAACATGAACACCCTTGAATCATGTACTTACAATTCCAAAATGCTAATACACTTTCTCCCGTGCACTGAATGCCTACATGGTGACTAACTAGGGAAAACAGAGCAGCTACTATTTGCCAGCATGAACTGACACAACCGACCCAGCTGGCAGCAGATGAACATCTCTTACAAATCAATCCCTCCGTCTCTGATCTCTCAGCCTTGATACTCTAGGGAAATCTAAAAAATCATCTTCTAAACACTAGCCTGGGAACAAGAATTGGTAAGTCTATGGGATACAGAACAACAAGGGCTCAAGATCAGTTTTACGTCATATTAAATATTCCCTTCTCCCCACTAGCCTTTTAATCTTCCTTCCCTACCCCAGGATCCAGCTCCTACTTCCCTCTGATTGTCTTCCACCTCACCTTTCCTTGCTCCCACACCCCTATAGGTATCACTGAGCTTTCTCTTTCCTTTCAGAGACAGTTAACTTGATCTATATTTAGTATTTTTACTCCATGGCAGGGGGGTTGGAACTAGTTGAGCTTTAAGGTCCCATCCAACCTAAACAATTCTGTGATTTTATTATTTCAGATGCTTTATTGTGACGGGATTCTGAGCTCATTTAAAACAAATAGGATGTATTGTTTTCTGAGTTTTAAGGAATCAAGATGTAATAGTATATAATACAGCATGCTGAAGAGAAAGAAGCTAAAGTAGCCAAGAGGGGCTACAAGGAAGCTGAGGGGGGACTTTTTACAAGGGCCTGTAGGGACAGGACAAGGGGTAATGGGTTTAAATTGAAAGTGGGGAGGTTTAGATTAGATATTACGTCTGGGAACAGGTTGCCCAGAGAAGCTGTGGATGCCCCATCCCTGGAAGTGTTCAAGGCCAGGCTGGATGAGGCTTTGAGCAACCTGGTCTAGTGGAAGGTGTCCCTGCTCATGGCAGGGGGGTGGGACTGGATGGTCTGTAAGGTCCCTTCCAACCCAAACCATTCCTTGAATCTATGAAAATGGGAACAAAAGCCAGAATAAAGAATACCAATTATTACTTTTTTTCTAGTAGCTATTTTACATATCAGTAAACGTATTTCAGTATTCCAAACAACTCAAAGAATTTCCAATTTATTTTTACGTTCATAAAAGGCTTATTTTAGTAGCAAATTAGTATAGCATCTTCTTTTTGATGCTGATGGGGAAATACACTTGCTACTTCAGTTTTCTTACCATTTTAATTTTATGTATTACTTTAACAAAAGCCCTAAAAAGACAGGATGTGGTCTTCCAATTGAAAAAAAGAGCTAAAGAAAGGCCCTGCAAAAGCTAAGTATTCCAACCCAGTTACATGTAACATTGTCCTTACTGCACTAAACTTGCTTTTTATTAGTAACTGTCACTGCTAGTAACCTTTCATTTATATTTAGCAACTTAAAAGATGCAAGTAAAAGGTAAGCAAGGTAAATACACATAAATATGAAGCTACCTGTGGTGTACGGATCAACAGTATTGCTTACAACTATTTGGTAAGCGTTGTCAACACTACTTAAAGACATAAAATGATGGTACAGTGGGTGGAGTTACAGAGAATCAGGTCTAAGGATTTTCTAGGCAAGTTGTGTTGCTTCAGTAAAACTTACGATCAAATGCATCCTTACTTTGGAAGGGGAGCCTTCAGTGATCTTCACCAGCTGCCAGAGGATGGAGTAATGGGAACACTGCAGTGCCTGAACAACGATCTGTAACAGAGGGAACACAAAGAATCCCACACCTTGGAAATGTCAAGCATATCAGTAAAGGGTATGTAAAATCTGTATTTTGGGGAGAAGAAACAGGAGCAGCTCTTTTTGTTTTCAAGGCTATTACGGTTTTCTTCAGTCAGCTTGATGCAGTAAGAAACCAGCCTACTACAGGTGAAAAAATACTGTGTAAATGCTGGGAAACATAACCGAAAACTCTGTATTAGAGTACTGCAAGAGGTGATGTCACAGCATGACCAAAGTACAACCCAACATCTACGTAGCTCAATTCAAAAGCATCTGTTTAAATATCTCTAAATCTGACTTCATTAGCACAATAGTCTGGAAATTTGTTCTGTTGTCAAATGAGCATGTAGTCCAATTTCTAAAAGAAGGGATATACAAATTTTCTCATGGCTTATATTTATGGTGCCCATAAAAGCATCCGTGGTGTCTTTTAAAAATTTCAGATCTGTATTAGGTGCTAAAAACGTAAAAATCTTTTTGGCTTGAAGGTAATTCCAACAGTTTGTGACTCTGTGCAGAATAAATCAAGTTTGTAACAGCTCTAATCACTTCACAAACTACTTTTTTGAAAGGTATCAATAAAGACCTAACTGTTCCTTTTCAGCAAACTCAGATTTCAGATCTTCTTTATTAAGAACTTACATAAGTATTTGGAGACCCATATCACCGTCCAACCCAGAAACCGAAGACTGCTGGTCAGTGCATGGACAGTTTTTATCCGCTGGCCCCTTCTCTCCAGGCAGCACGATTCCAGGATGAAGTAGCAGCTGCAGAGAGCAGAAGGTGCCTCTGCCTAAAGCCATGACTCTCCCATGGCGTGTGTCAACACATCCTCCATACTTCCCTTTTTAGAAAATACTTTTACAGAATTTCATGATTTTCATGATTTTTTTTTTTTAAATGAAGTTGAGTTAAAATTAACATCTGTCTTGTAATGGGAATCAAATTATAATTTAAAATGTGCTGAAATGCTGGAGTGGGCAGTCTGCAGTTTAAACTGGAATCCTGGGAGAATGTGAAATGGTCCCTGTGCTCATCTGTGAGAAACAAAAACCCAACCAGGAGGAAACAAAGTCCAAGATGTGTCCACCAAAAGAACTCCACTGGAAAGGCTGGCCAGCATCCCTGCTAAATGTTCTTCTTATTTCCTGGTTTTCATGAGCTTCCATCTTACCTTCAACACACAATAATCGTTCGTGATAATTATAATTGCCGCCAAGGTTTACAAATGCTGGGTTTCAGTGTGAACAGCATGGTTTATGCACTGCTTTTCACAGCCAGGAACATTAGTTATGCCTTACTTTACAGGTGAGAAAGGTGAGGCAAGTAGCTTTTCACCTCCTGGACAGTGCCTCACTAGAATATAAATTTCATTTAAAATCCATGTTTTTCCTAAATAACTGAAGTCTAGTGCATTAATCCTTTGAGATTCTCTACAACTAGACTCTTTAAAACTCCGAATCCCGGAATGACGCAGTGCAGGTGTTGCTAACTGTACCTGTTCTGGCATAGCTCCGTGTTCAATTCCAGTTCTTAGTAACCTGTAGCAGTTACTGAACAGATCCCATTTTGTGAGATCGTGTGCACTAGAACGAGAGGTAATAAAGAGAGATTAGTTGTGTTCCCCAAAACTCCACACCACAGCGAGAACGTGGTCTGACCTGGCAGCTCAGTGAGCTTTGGTATTTTTGCAAAGCTGAGACAACAGAGCCTGCTGACAAAGCAGCCGGACGATTAGCTCACACCATGCGAAAAGCAGAACTTGGGCTTTCTGACCACTGAGGAAAAATGTTTAACTACATGGGGTTTTTGTAGGGAGGAGATAAACTCTCCGCATACCATACATCTTTAAAGGTTACTTAAGCGTAGCTACAAGCTCCTTCTCAGTGTTGCCTGTAAATCATCTTTCCTATTTGGTTCTTACCATGGACTGAACTCCAGGTGACACTTCTCTGGCACTGCAGCGGCAATTATGGCCAAATTCTAACAATATACACTGAATAAAAATGGCTTTAAACAAAATAATTACTTATTTTTCTGCATTATCATTTGGAGAAAAATAATATCGATTCTCCCTAGATATTAAATACCCTGAAATATCTGAGGTAAGACAGCATGATATACTTGGACACAACGCAGAGATGGTGGTTGCCAACCCCGTTCATTGTTTCACCTTTCAGTTGTAGCAACCCAATTTGCCACCGAGAGGAATATAGATGGGATTAACAACATACATTATACAGCCTCTCCAGGCTCAACACCTTACGATCTAGCTTTGTAAATACAGAACTGGGAACTACACAAGAAATTACAGAACATCAGGTTTCCTGAAAGACAAAAATTCTCTTTCACAAAAATATTTAGGTTTAACACATTTTTCTGCAGTAGAATTAAACTGAGATAATTTGAAACATTTATAATCAGTATATAGAAGAGCAAGCCACCTCAGAATAATCAGAAACTCGGTGATTAAACTACCCAGCCTGGAAGAAGCCATACTCAGACAGAATTGGCAAGTCTCAATTAGATAAAGCATCTGGCTCCTTTTCATCCCAGCACTGTGATCACCAAGATATGCTCACTTTTCCCACCCCTTTGTGTCTGCCTGACTTTGTTTAAGTAATTAACTACCTACCCTGCTCAGCCAGAAAGAATAATTCTCGAGTTCCAGAATGGAAAGAGGTTGAACTCAAGACCGGGAATGACTAGATCCTGTCGTTCATTTTCATTCAATGAAAATGCTAGATCCCTAGTATGAAATGCTTCCTGTTCCGGAGCGTATTAGCCCAGGAAAACCTCACTGATACAAGTTTCACAGAAAACATAACAATTAATGTCCCTGTGCTGAGAGCAAGTGAAGTATGCACTCTAGGGCTGTGTCATTATGCCAAGGTGCAGCTTGACTTCTAATTCAAATCCATGAATAGAACAATGGGAAAACTTTTAAAAAAAGGAAACAAAAAATGTAAAAATACTCCCCCCGCCTTAGATTCTGGATGGTCTTCGAAGTATGAAAATAAAACGTGTCATAGATAAATTATAGGCTGTCAGAGAACTGCCTCTGACTAGTGATGTTAAGCACATAGATGCTGCTTCAGCAAATCATGGGGTTGCTAGCAAGGCAGAGTTGTACCTCCTTAATCACAGTGCTGTAATTAAAGCAGTAAGATCTCCTTGGTGCAGAGAGGCAGGTACCAGCATAGATTATCCTACAGAGGAAACGAAAGGGAAAACTGCCTTATTTCTGCCTTTTTGTTTTAGAGGCCTCCAGGTCAGGCCCCCCTGCCCTGACAGCTGGGGGCAGCTTAGCTCTGTGCTCTGAGCCTGGCCTTACAGCTCACCTCAGGAAGAGCTTTTCCGCTTCCAAAGCTGAAAAATTCTAACCATATACAAGTTGCATAGGTCTTCTCAATGTAAACTTCCTTAAAGAAGAGTCACCACAATAATTTTAGGCATATTCTGATACACCTCTGTCTCTTTTGAATTACTCAGCAATCAAAACGGTAGTTATGAAGGTACCTTGGACACAATACAATTCCCCAGAGGTTCACTGACATAGAGGCTCCTAGAATGAAAACTCACACAACACAGTATTTTCCCTTAGTCTGTTTCATGTTAGAGAGTCTTCATGGGTTACAGAAAACAAGGCCCAACATTTCATCAAAGGTTTCTTTCCATTCCCACAGACAGCCCTGTCTGCTGGGGCACGTTTCTGCCAGGACATAGTCAGCTGAAATAAAGGTACCAGTTCCACGGCGTTTCTGAAAGGGTGGCAAGAAGCAGCTTCGAAAACTTCTTTTTCAAAGAGGCCAGCTCTCCACCCACCTGCTTCTCTTTTTAAAGCAGCACAAAGTGAGAGAAGCTGCACCTTGGGCTTTGAGCTGCTATGCTAGACACAGTCTAATTTCTCCGCTGAAGCTGCATTTGTCAACATTTCTGCTTCTTCTGGACAGACCAAGTTTCTGAGTCTGAAGGATGTACTGGGCAACCACTGGAAAAAAGGTTAAGCAAAGGATTTCTATAACAGGAAGAGAAAATCTGTTGGTCTGACTGTGAATTTACCTATCTGGGAAGCGTCCTGACTAATCATGCTTATACTGATAAAAATATGACGCGTATCTGGAGAGTTACTACAACCACTGCAGTCAGTGTGGAGGCAGGAAGGAATCCAATTCCATATCATATCTGAGGACCACTGGACAGCGATACCAACTGTCAAATCATCCTGATTTCTAAATGTGAAGCAATGTTCTATATATAAGACAGCACCAATGGGCACATGCAAAGTAATTGAGGTGATGCTTGAGATTTCTGTGTCTTACACTGAATTAATTGAAGTAACTAAATAAGAAATGCTGATATTTTGCAGCATACAAACTGCTACGGCACTGAAGTGTTCATGTAAAAGCTCAGCCAAATTGGGCCGCAGTCTGTATAGAAAAATTGTCTGTGTGTACTTCAGAAAAAAATGCTATAAATATGAGCAAGACCCTGGCAAAAAAAGGAGCCCAAGTATACACTGCAGGTGTTCTATTCACAAGACCTAAAGAAAATTTATTATTGTATTTTGAAAACTTGGAAGGAAACAATGTAATGATGAATTATTTGTATTGGAATGCTGCTATCCTTGTTGGATGAAAAGACATGAATTAAAAAGTATGCTGTGAGCCTTTTGTTGCCATGACCCTCAGAAAAGAGGATTAGCTCAGGCTTGGGAAATCTCAGCACAGGAGCTTTTTGGCTTTTCTGATAATCCCCTAACATGTTTTTTTTCATCTTGCTGGGCTTCTTTTTCCTAAAATCAGCATTTCCTAGAAGCAGCAACTACCAAGGAAACGCAAGCACAGATAAGGTACAGTGGAGTTTCTTTCACTGGAAGAAGAGAGGGACTTGCTTCTTTTCGAGCTTCAGAAACGACTTTATCAGTGCATTTTTAGAAGATCTGAAAGGTGAAAGTTGTTACCCTGCTAATTCAACTTCTTCCATCGATTCAATTTCTTGTGGCTCCCATTTGGTGACAGACAATGACAGTATCCGAAAACAGCCACCGATCTTTGCGATGAGAGCACCCAGTGCGAGTTCTGAATTGAAGATCCTAACCTCATAGCTAAAGGTTTGGCAAAAATTCTGTCTCAGATGGTCTGATTGTTTCCTTTCACAAAAAAAATCACATCAGACCTAACATTCAGCAGAGTAATGAAAAGGTTTCATAACTTTTTAATATGCAAGAAGATACTAATTAGAAAAGCCCACTGAACTAGAATCATAAATAACAAATCAGCAGAGAAATGATACACAGCTGCTCTTCAGCTCTTAAGCTTTGATTCTTTTCTCTTTCCTCTTTTCTGAAGGTGAAGGTAGATGTCCCCGACCCCGATTTGTGTGTTATTCTAGCTTGCTTTACAGGCTGAATTAACTCTTCGAGATTTGAAACCCTAAAGGAAAAACTGTATGTGGGAGACTCAGAAAAGCCTTAAGATTTGTGTTTCTTTCTTGAACATGAACTACAGCTTTCACCAGTCCTCTCAGGAAAGGCAGAAGTGGCTCCAGTGTGTTACCAGGGAGACTGAAAACCTAATTTGCACATGTGTCAGCCTGCTGCTCTACGGAAATTAGTAACGATTTAATGATCTCTGTGGGACTCTTGTTGAATGGAAACAAAGAGTAGATATTTCAGAACCATTTCACAGAATGATCCAAGCAGAATTCAGGATAAGTGAAGACTAAGCACAGAAAGAAGAGAGAAATTAAATCACTCAAAACAATTGGTATAGAAGAGGTGGCAGGAGCAAGGTCCTCTCACATCTTGTGATAAGGAAGGAAAGATTTGTGCCTCTCAGCCATCTGGCGTACGAAGCTCTCGTACATGGTGACCAGGAGCAATACTTCCTAAGATTAAGTCTTTGTGCTATGTTCCAAAATTCACAGTTCAAGTGAAATTTCCCAGACTGCTCTACAAGTTAAGAGGGTGCCTACAGGCCTGACAGCAGCAGGACCCTGAAAAGCTGCTGCCTGGTTCCACCGAGCTGGTTCACACTTGGCGAAGGAGTTTCTGTGCAATCCCTGCAGTGAGACTTGGCCAACAATTCAACCAGGAACTACTCCTGGCATTTCTGCAGGAAGAGAATGCATCTTCCCAAATCTCACCATAAACTATTATTAGTATTACAACTATTTGTTTCTGTAATTTTGAGGAGAAATACCACAAAGGCATTGAGGAAGCGAGCTCAGGGGCTCTCCTCAGTTGCATCTCAAAGCACAGATCCTGCATCCGCTGGTGCCAGAGACAATAAGCGTCACTTGGGGACTGTCTGTCATGCAGGGGGGTATGACTTTTAGTAAGATACTCAGAGGTGTAAACTCACTTAGTGCAAGGGGTGATATGCCACTTGCAGATCAAATCTAAACATTAACAGCATGACTTAAGCAAGGACCCAGATTAATCCAAACAATTATACTGACAAATACCACTAATCATTCATCAATCTCCATTTTGTATTTCAGGCCATAGATTTACCCATTTCTTAACACCAGAATCAACTGATACTTGCTGAAATGATAAGAAAAAATAGGAGATTTTTGAGGAAAAAAAAAAAAATCACCTACTTGTGAAAAGAGGTTAACCTCTTTAATGTGGAGAGTACATTGTATATGTCATCATCATCAGCTTCTTCTCCCTGAAAAAGAAAGGAAATCCATTAAGAGAGCTCAGCAATCCAGACAAGTATGTTACTGCACGGGGAGAAGCAGATTTCTTTGGGGGTTTATGTTGACATCAAAACTGACTCCAAATTTTCCAGTGACTTTCATATAGATTCCATGATAATCATATTTAAATAACCGCTGCATAGCACTAGGAAATACGCAAGATCACCTCAGAGTATTCAGCAGTATCACTGTGTTAATACTCAAACCAGTGTCCTCCAGCAGCAGAAATCATTCCCAATAACAAAACCTGGAGCTCTACCGTATTTTACAAAAAGGATGGAACCATCAGCTTTAACCGTCGGCTGATGACCATGCTACAGGGATAAAGCCAAATGTTCGCCTTGCTACATGCCAGAAACCTGCAGATGTCAACAGCAAGGTTTTTAACATGACCAGTGGGAAGATTTCTGTATTTCCATATCCTTCACTGCTGGAATGCACGACAATCGCAGAAAGCGCACAGACTGACATGCATTCAGAACTGCATGGAAGGGGTATTTTTAATTTCGTTTCACACATCTGGGGAAACAACGGTCCAAGAATAAATACTGCACAATTCAATTAAAACTTCTCATTTCATTTTTTTCTTTCTGGCATTTTAAAATATCATTATCCTAATATTTTACCTGAACCGAACAGCAAATTCTCTTAGTGAAACAAGTGGAAATAAGATACTTCCAAAACTTAATTTTTCCAGTAACTTTTTGAAACCAGAAACCTACTTATAAAAATTCTTGTCCAATTAATTTTGATCATTTTTTTAATCTAAAACCTAACGACATTTTCCTTCTTTCAGATACAATTATCAATCAATGTTTCTCTCATTATCAAGCTAGTGGGAAGCCATAAAGCAGTGGGATACTTGCTTGGGTACAAGTATACACATTTTTAAATTGAAAATGTCTTTAAAATGATGAAATAGACTTAATTAATTACCAAGCATCATCCAGTAAAGGCCAAAATTTTAAATCCTTGCCACTGCTGTTCTCTCTTTCTCCTACTTTTGTCTTGATTTTGTATCTCCACATCTTTCTGTGTCACATGTCTGACCTCACACTCCCTTTTCCTTAGGGATCTAAAGCCTCTTAATTCTTCATTTCACATAGGACTTTCAGACACAGCTTTTCTCCAAAATCCTCAGTCCTCATCCCTCTCTCATGCAAGCGAATATACCCAAAGATCATAAGCCCTGGCTTGCACTTCTCTACTCCTTCCCAGGCTGTGTAAAGGAAGGGGATACCGCAGAAGTATTCTGGTATCACTGCTCCTTCATGAGCCCAGTCTCTGCTCCCTGCCCAGTAGTCTCAGTGCGTCTGTCAGGGCTTTGCGCACTGGAGTATTGCATAAAGAGAAACTGCCTGACAAGAGAAGGGGAATGGAAAGGGAAAAAGCATTTCCTGGCTTCCTGATTCAACTTCAGTTTGTAATAATGGAAAATTGCAGGAAGAAGAAAGTTTTTCTCCCCTAGATCATTTCTCCTCAGCAGACTAGTGGGAAGTTGCTCATGAATCCCAGCACCCCATTGCTCCCACCTAACTCCCCCTGGGTAAAAGTGAAGCTGGAAGGATCTTTCAATCAGTGCAGGAAGGGAGAGATGGGACTGCAGATCTGTACAGTGTCCCTAAAACGCGGAGTGCGACATCTGAGCTCTCTCAATGGTCATGTATCCCTAGCCTAAAACAGCTGGACCTAAAAGCTTTGCTGGCATAACTGATCTGAAATGTGGGCTGGGGGTGGAAGAGAGGTAGATTTCCAATCTCCTCTCATCTTCACTGCTTGTAGTATTGGAACATGGATCTTTGAGGCCCAGAGACCACACTGGCTGTGGGAGAGGACTTCCAAAGAAGGGCTTCTGAAAATACCCAGCTAAGGACTGTGAGACAGCAAAGGGGAGGACAGCACGGGATCTCCTCAGATCACAGAATGCAAAACGAAGAGGACTGATGCTATAGTAAACTGAACTCAACACCAGCTGGACTGCTGGCTTCCAGACGAGCATGCAGCTGACAGAAAAGGAGCTGACAGAGCTGGGGTTCTTGTCTTGCCTCTTCTTCAAAGCTGCTGTGTGAAGGAAAATAGGGAAGTCACAGGAAAGGCAGCTGCTGTACAGCAGGGGGAACGTTCCTGTATTTGCTAACAGAGTTTGAGATTATGGTTGGAAACATTATCTGTGGGTGTCTCAGCAATACTAATAAATGGTGAGTGGATCTCTTCTGGGGTGGAACTACCCAGGGAACAGAATGCCACCTCTGAATCCTTGAAGGGATCCATGGATGAATAACATCTATACAGCTGAACAGTGTGGAAGCTTCAAGGGGACTCTTCCAAAAGACAAACCTAATTTCTGTTTGTTACACAACTGTCTCCAGAGAGAACAAACATGCCATTTGCTCTGGAGAAGTTCCAAGATAAAGCTATGAGAAAAAAGCTAAAAGGGGACATTTTCATACTGTCTTACAACAAGACAGTGTAAAAGAAATGGCAAGACAGTGTCAAAGAACTGGGATTCCACTTGCTTCTTGGTCTGATTCTTGAAAAAAACGCATAAGCCCTTTCTTCCGTCTCAAGGGAAGACAGTGCGAATGAGATGCTTTTTGCTGATCTGAGCTTGGCTGTGGAGGCATAAGATCCTCCAAAAGCCAGGTCTAGAGAAACAACACAGGAGATTTGTCCCTGCATAGAGAGCCAGACTGAACCTTGCTGTTGGGTGTGTGGATAGTGAAAAATGTGAAGACCTCACCAGAGTTCCCAAACCTCTGCCAGCAGGTACCAATGCAAAGAGCGAAGGCGACTATTTACGGTGATCAGTTGCTGAGCATTTGGTGTGGAGAACTCATCTGGTTCTGAAGCTGGATCTCTGTGCTGGAAGCCCAGCCTTAGCCCTTTTTGCTATCCAAGTCAGTGACTGATTCCCAAGGTTTTTGTCTCATTTTTGGTCCACTTGGCCAGAGGTGAGTAACTTCAAAAATCCACGGCTATTAAAACAGACGGCTAAGACATGTAATGTGGCATTAGCTGAAAGGATTCCTTTGCCACACACAGATGAGCAGAAACGTAGCACAAATTCTAGAATGTGCTTTCAGGTTGTGTTCAGAAGTTTCTGAGAAAGTACATATAAAATGGCAGAGAGGTAGACAGCAAAGTAAATGCATTCTGTCAAAAAATGTACAGTGGCACACTAACTCCACTGGGTTGCAGGGCACCTGCTTCCTGCCTGCACTGCTTTTTCGTACTCATGTACATTCCCACAGCAACAGAGACACTTTCATTTACCCTGTAATGTGACAAGACATATACAGTATGCCTGTATGTGACACATTACTTAAAGATAGAAACCCAGCTCATTTTCTTTAATATGCAATTCTAAAAGAGAGACTGTAGCTTAACTTTCTATACATGTACATCAAAAGTTAAATGCACCTGCCACAATGCAGTGCATGACTAGAAGTGAAGAACAAGATCTATGCAGCCCTTAGTTATGTTTAAAAAGCATGAGAACTACAACAAATTACGTAGTGCTACAAAAAGTTAAATTGATGTAGAGCAAGAAAAAATGAGTAAGGTGTCTATTCTTATTTAATGTATTCTGTCTTATGCATTTTGAAGGATAAATTCTTACAAGTAAATCCCAGGTACCTCCTGGTTTTAGAACTGCATCTTTCTTTATTTCATTCTTGCCAGAGCTCTTTCGATATGCCATTATAAATATTTTACCAAATCCTCTCTTCCATTCAAGACATAATCCAATCTTGATTCTGCTGCCTGCATATCCATTTGGGACTACTGAAATCACCACAGGCATTAATGTAAATGCACCTTTCTCTGCATTTTTCATCAGATTTCAGCCATTCATCCATTTTATTTCTTATGTGGACTGTTCAAATACTAGACTAAATTTTCAGAAGCAGGATTGTCCCGTGGTCTTTGTTTCAGCATCAGAGCTTCGCAGGATTAATGGCTAGTCCAAGGGATTTTCTATATGGAGAAATAGCTCCAAATAATTCTAAAATAGTTGCTGCTGCACTGTCTTCAAATGGATAATTTCAGGACTATGTAAGAACATTTTTCTGCAGTTTATCAAGCGTATTTTAGGTAGTCTAACTAAATTAATTTTAAGAAAACAAACCTCCTGCAGCAGGTCCTCTACAGAGTGGTTGAATCGATCCACAAACTCATCAATAAGTTGGCTGTGGGCTATGTCAACTCTGTTCTGGATTGTGTATTCTTCACTACAGAGTATGCTGTAGGTTTTGCTGCAGGCTTCGAGAACATCTGATTCCACATGCTTTTCCACAACAAACTTAATCTGTTTCAGTAAGGCGTCCAGATGCTGTAGATCAGAAAGGAAGTTCAGCTTTCACCTTACGTGAACAACGAAACTCAACGAAAAAGTCATTCGAGGAATACACCAAATCAAGGTCCGACTGCTAATACGCCGCATGAAGGCACAGGACCACACGATTAAAAACTAACCCGATGCGTGACAGCAACCAGACTTCTTCCCCAACGTACTATACCTTTTCCATCCTGCCTGTGCTATAGATTTCCAGATCAAAATACTGAGGGATTTGCAGGAGATTTGCAACCTTCTCGGCATCAGCAGAATACTAGAACATCATTGAAACAAAACAAAAAACAGTGAAGTAAAAATAAGCACCGATGCTACAGAATGAAAAAGTTTAAAGACAGCTGTAAAAACGGGCGAGAGGTTTATTTTGTTGAAAAATGTACCTTTGATAGCAACATCGGAAGTGCAATAATGAAATGCTCAGTCAATTTATTTCTGTCATCTATCTGAGTTTTCCTTTCTTTTGCTGTCAAGACCTGCAGGTGATCAAGAAAAACTAAAGTAAATACAATTTCTGCATACAGCATCCATTGATTTTTCTAAAGTTTGTATTACAAACAGAAATCCATGCAAATGTATTTTTAACAAATCAAAAGAAGGGGGAATGAAAAACTCAAACACATTTGGACTAAAGAGTGATTAAATGGGAGGACCATGTGTCCTAAGAAGCCATGATTGAAAAGGAAAATATCGTATCATCCAGCACATGATATTGTCTCGACACATCAACATCTTTTAGGATTGAAGTTCAACAACCCAAGTCAGTGGAAGTTTTGCTATTGCTTCCAAGTCAACTGAGCTCTGGCTTTCACACATTAAACAAAGTGTTAATGTAAGACCTCAGGGTGAACCGAAGTGTAATTAAGAAAATCAAACCCAAACCACACTGGAACAGTGATTTTCATTAGCAGATTCATGACCTCTTCTCTAAACTAGAATGTAATTCTCAGCGAGAACATACATCCAAGTTCCCAGAACTCATTTACAAATTTCAGTGACAGATACACTGAAGCTACTAATGCTGTCATAGCAAAACCACCTTGAAACAGTGAATAGGGAGACAATAATCAAAACAGCATGCTTCATAAAAGCTCAGATCTGGCTTCTTGGCTTCAGAAAAGGAGATAATACTTTTGAAAACAAATACCGGTAATAAAATACTCAAGTTAGCTAATGATTTATGTATAGCAAAGCTGCCAGACTGCAAAATAAGGGTTACAAGCTAAAATCAGAGAAGAAACTATTTCACAAGAAGGTGAGTGCATAATTAGAAACCTGCTCCCATTTCAACTCAGAGAATATGCTAGCGAGATCATGAGAACATGACAAACCTCTCCTGACAAGTCAGAGATCCCTGCAGTTACCATCCCACAACTCATGATCTAACTGAAAAGAAGCAAAAGCTAAATGTCATACCCACGTCTCTCTGCCAGTGAGGAGGAACAGCTGGAAACAAAACGTGCCTGGATGACAGGTGGCCTACAGCAATCATGGAAGTGAATAGATGTGCAACCAGGGTAAGAAACCACTTCCATGGCGCACGGCAGAGAGCACCAACCGCACTTCCTGCGGTGCAGCACCACCCGCGCCGGCAAAAGCCGCTAGCTCGTCGGAAGGCAAGACAAATGCAGCCAGCAAGTCAGGCCCCCACCCCCTAACCACCCAGTCGTACGCTGGTGAGCAAATATTGCTATTCAGCAGTGCTATGAATTAATCTGGATGACCTCAAGGCTCTTTGGATCATCCTCCAGAAGGGGAAATTCACTTTACTGAAGTGTTTTCTTTAGCTTTGAAGAAATACAGACATAGAAAATTTAAGACTCGGCAATTTGCTGACCTTAAATGAACCGAACTATAGATCTCTTGAGATAGGAAAAACGCCTGGAAAGCTAACAGTGACATTATTTGGTGATCCAAACAGAAAACACAGACAGGAAATTTTTGTCAGATTTAAAGGTTGGTTTGTCTGCTACAAGAGTTTGCAGCTAGAGACAAGACACAATTAAGCTGTGCTTACAATACAGTTTTGGTAGCACAGGATAATACATGCTTGTGTAATTTTGATTAAGCGCTTTCCCCTGCACCCCTGAATTGTTCTAATAAAACAGGCGTTTCTTAGGATATGCTTTATAAATCAAGGTACATACATGGATGCTTAAATTGATGGTTTCTTGGAGCTTTTCCTGGGATGCTGTTTTTGGACATGAGGGTAATCTGCTTTTGCCACATGAAAATTAAGTAACAGCATTGAGTTTAGCAATAAAGAATGTTGTCTATCTCCAGATTTCACCTTCATTAAGTCCGTGGCTTTCATAACGACTTGTGGTTATTCAGAACACAACCTAACGGAAGTGCCAAATGTTCACATGCATTTATTTCATTTTAGTCTAACCTAAATAAGAGGGGGACTACTCAAAATCAGGGAAATATATTTGGGAAGCGGACACTCTTTTGGAACATGGATGCTGTATTTATGGAGAATACAGCTGTAAGCCTGCTGCTCACCCTGACCTTATGACTTACACTGAAATGCTTAAAAGTGCATACCCAGCCTTGGGAACGGACTTCCACTGATCCCCAGTCACTATAATATAAATAAAAGAGGCAGACAGATTGCAATATGGCCAGAATGTCAAAATCTTAAATTTTTAGGACAGTAGTGGAAGAGGCCAAAGAGGATGGATACATAAAACCACAGATGCACTCAGGCTGGTCCCAATCCTACTCCTCAGGGTCAGACTGGGGTGCTCAGGGACTTGTCCAATCCCGTCTTGAAAACTGCACAAACTCTCAGCTGTTCTTCCAGTGCTTAACTACTCTCATGACGAAGATATTGTTGGCTTTTTCTGCAAATTTTATGTCTGTATTGGCAGCACATTCTTTTTTATGGAAGACAGTCAGAAGTCATCTTGTTCTGCTCCCAAGGCCCAGACTTTCAATTCTAATGTAGATTTAACATTAAGGGCTGTATATATGGGTACATTACAAGTGTAAGCCAGGGGTATGATAAAAAGAACATATTAAAAAAAAAAAATCATAAAAATTAGGTTTTCATGCTTTTAAAATTTTCTTACTTAACCTGGCAATGCAAAACCCAAAACCAAACAAAACCCCAAACATGTCCAGAGATAAAATTGTTACTATTTCTCTTCAATGAAACATGGAACAGCAATTATAAAAATCTAATTTAAGAGTGTCAAAATGTGGCATTGTAGACAAATATTTTATGTTACAATAGTAACACACAGAGGCACGAGCTACCTACTGCAGTAGGACTTACTCTCTTGCCAGTGCCTCTGCCTACGGGAGGATGTGCTTCAGCAGCTTGTCTGATCGTACACACCATCAGCTCAATAAGAGCACTCTCCTGCCGGTCAGACATGGCTATGGAAGGAAAAGAACAAGCAACATCAGTTCTGACGTGTGTGCAAGACATCTCAAAGAAAACAAATCTGTGAATGCAGTTGTAAAATGCAGGGAACAGAGAAGAACAGAGACAACGTCGTTTTGTCCCATTTATAAATCTGAGGCTTTCTTGCTTGCTCTTTGAATTACCATTCACATCATCTCAAAACAGATACGGCAGAACTGAAAGAATTCCAGAGCAATGTAGCCTGGAAAAAGGATGAATGAAGGGGAATATAACAAAGATCTACATAATTAAGAGTATCCCGGAGGACAGAACGCGACTGGCTGTTCCCCATCACATCCTTATAAAATATTCTTACCATCACGAAGTAATATTTCTGTTCTTTGGGAAGTACTTCTGGTCACAGCTGGAGCATCAAACCCCACTAGGCTATGCAGAAACAAAGAACCCAAGTGCCTAATTTCCTGATAAATTACCATATAAATACCACAGTGTTATCAGGTGGATACCAACAGGTCAGATTGTGAAGCACTGAGGGGATGAGCACATCACCCTACGAAGCACTAAGAGTACATATTTTTTTCAATCACCTAATCCCTGCAAAGGTCCCTGACACAGGAGAATCCTGAAGGATTATAAATGATCCTGAATGATGCTCATTATTGTTAAGGCCTCTTTGCCACCAACCTTCCTGGCTGCCTTATGCAAACAGATCTATTATTACAAAAGGAGATTCAAAACTAATGGTGAAAGAATCCCCTCCTTTTTTTTTTTTCCTCTCTTGATAATTCATTAGGTTTTAACATTGTCTGGAAAAAGCTCCATATTCAAGCAGCATCACCTGAAGTGCTGTTTATTCAAACTCGTATTAGCTATCTACTTGACTGAAATGTTCATGTTTACACTAGTTATTTAAATGTTTAGACACGAAGGTGTCCCAGACTTTACTATTAGGGAACCACAGTACAGCAGCCTCCACAAGATGAAAAACAGACTACAAAAATGCTGCTTTTGAAGCAAACTGCATTAGAAGTGGATTAAATGAAAATCTTCAAATATGCTTTCTAAACAAACCACAAGATAAATACCTCTATCACCCACAGCAAAGCATCTTTTTAAGGAATAATTAACAATACTGAGCAATATCAATAAAGGATAGGGGTTAAACAAATACCTTCTTCTCCTTGGACTGGTTCTTCCAAGAGCAATTCTGTCATACATTCCCAGTCTTTCAGCAGTTCTTGAGAGCTCTCCCACAAACTGTCCACCAAATAGGCTGCGTGTTCATGCAACTACAAAATGCAAAGCAACCATCAGTACAGTGTTCTGGTACCAGCAGCAGTTCAACTTTCACAATCGTTCAGCCACAGAAAGTGTTCTGGGCACGTACTCTTATGTTAGTTGGAAAGAAAATTCAGTTTGCAATTACCTCTGGAAGGTCTTCTTCCAACTGAATGATACAACTGCATGACAATGGGGCTATGTTTTAACAGAAAATGGAATAAAACCAAACGGGCCTTCTTTTCCATAAAGCAGCTTGTTTGTGGAAAATCCTTCTCAGAGTTTTGCCCTAGCAGCCATAAACTTACCTTTCCTCACAGCCTTACTGCATTATAAAAAGATGGTGGGACATGAGACTAAGAGAGTTGTAATACATTGATTTTGAATAGGCATTCAGCTTTTATACATGCTGCTCCCTGCTCAGAAAACAGCAGCAGAAATCCTACTGATTTCAGGGGCATAGAATTAACAATAACGTTAAATGCAAAACACGTTTTTATGTGCATTAATACAACTGTTGTAAAGTGAGAAAAATAATCCATAGGCTTCTACTGCTTTATAAACTCATCTTTAACCACTACCGAAAATGAACAAGCACAATACACAGTTCTGACTGGTTCACCAGACATGGGACTGATCCCTTAACTGGGAAACATCGAAGAGTGTGGGGAAGGAGGGGTTGAGTACATCTACCAACCCTTCTGCTTCTGACAGCTTTGGGCCAAGTGTCACAGAGCTTACTGATGCCTGTCACAGGTTTACCTGTTCCCTCTTCTGAAGACACCCCCTCAGACTGCAGTGCTTACATCTTCTAGTCCTACGCAGATGGAAACTCCCGATTCTCTAACTCTTTATTAAAGCTGGAGTCACAATATTCTACCTAAATTCTAACAGCTCTTTCAGAAGCAGCCGTACAAAAACTGGCCCTGAGGGAGAAGCGATCCTGGGGAGCAGCACACGGCTTCCAGGGGAAGGCACTTGGCTGATCACAGCTTTAGGGAGCAACGCTGAGTTTCTTTTCTCCTCAGAAGGGCAGACAAGCTTAACACTCGGTAACTCTGAATCATGCAGACTCATATTTAAGGTATTTTCACTGGAAAATACAATGATCTATTACAACCTAAGTTTTTAAGAAGGTGGAACTAAAAATACATTCAGACAGCACATTGAAGGCTCACACAAGTAGTGACATGTCATCCAGACTTAAACTGTAGGTTTATAAGGGTTTTCTAAAGAACATTACCATTAACACTAAATGTTAACCTTCCTTCTCAGCATCAGGTTGTGTTTCTTTTTATGCTCACAGTCAAGTCTCCTGTTCAAGGCTTCGTAACAATTAAAATACCTGATTGCAATACTTCTCTTTTTGCTTTTTACACAAAATATATTACCCTCTCTTCTGCAGAGGCACATTTCTGCCATTCCTTTGTTTCAGTCTTCCTTTGCCACCTATTAACTACCAAATCAAATGTGTCATTTTTAAACCTTTACCCCTCTATCTTCAGAGCATCCTGTACCTGATATTTTATCTTCTCAAGTTTTCCTCCACTCCACTGCCATTCCCCACCTGAATTACTGTTAGTATGGCTATCATAAAACTTCCCATACATGCTGTCGCTATAGACTATGGGCACAATCCCATCCTGAACGTGTTCATCAAACACGTAAGGTCATCATACGAGTGCTTGCAGTCTCCATCCTCCAACATTTTCAATACGCAACTGCATACGACACTAAACAACGACATCAATCTCCCAGCTGACTCAGCTTTGAGCTACTGACTCTCGGGTCCTTTCCACTTTGAATTAATCTATGATTTAATCATAATTTGAGACATTCTGTCATTTTTGCCCCTTTCCAGTTCAAATCATTTTACTCCATAAGGACTAATTCCAGAGGAGAGGTATAGTCCTTACATGGTTATCCTAAAAAAGAACACGTTACATTTCTATGTAACAACGAATCCTGGCAGCCACCATACCACCAGCAATGCAGTTCTGAGTCAGTGGGGACATGCGAGAGCAAAATAAATCATGAAGAAGATTTTGAGTTAAATCGGCTTGATGGACAAGGAAATAGGGGCAGGGTAAGGGGCATACATTATTTCTGAAATTATGAAAAAAAAAAGGAAAAGAAAGACAACTTGTTACTGTATGTTGATAAATCACTACTTAAGTTCCAGGTTTTACTAAACATGTAAAGGTTAAAAATGAATTTTTTACCTCACTTTCAAGAAAGAAAAGAACCAACATTCTAATAAGGTTTCCATTTGGACTATTTCGCCCCCTCCTCTTTGCTAGAGCCTCTTCAGCTTGGGGATCATGTCTGCTGAACAGTCTAAAAGTAAGCAAAAGCAGCTATCATGTTTATCAAAACAAATCTCATTTCTGCAATAATATGATGAGCATTCATTCTTGGTATAGCCGATTTGTTCATCAAACACAGTGAAAGTGTCTCAAGCTGTTTCTTTCATTTTTGGCATGACCTCTGCCTGTCTGAAGAGATGAGTTTATCTTCAGAGTCTTCATGTTCACAGGGCTGGAAGAATTTCACACAGGAAAAAGCTCTCCAAAACAGATTTATATTGAAAGATTATGCACAGTTTTATATATTTCTATAATTTGTATAGTTTTGCATTTTTAACTCATCAAGTCTTACACTGGCGATAGGAAGTATTCCACTACTGCCTGAAGAACTAAGGTTGTATCTTCACTGTGGTCACGTTGACTGGGATATGGTATAAACAAACTTGACATCCTGTTAAACAACCAACCTCAGGCACCAGTAGCAGCAAAAAAGATAAAGCAAGACACCAGTCAGTTATTTGTTTCTTTTTTCAGGTGAATTATACATTCTGCACTGAGACCCTTGATGCATGGCTAATTACAAACTACTCCCAGAGCTCAAATTTGCTAGCTTAAAGAGAACTCAGATGCATCTACGTTACAGTTACATTAAGTTTTACTCTGAGAAGTTTGAAAACTGTTCCTTGTTTTCACATAGAAACCGCAGTCACAAAGCAAAGCAGAGATGTGAAACACCGTGTTCTGATTTGATGACACTAATTCACTGCAAAGAGAAGGATTAACCACACACAAACATTGTATTCTAGTTAAAGACATCACCTCTTCCCCCCTGCTTATCTTAATAGATGAGAAATGAGCATCTCTGCAAGTGCTGAAACATCTTGGAACATGCATCTCAGGGCTGAGCCAGCGATCCTCTGTATTATTTGCTTTCCTTTGCTAACTACAGAGAGAAAGACTAACTAGCTAGCTCGCACATAGAAAGTGATATTTAGATGTATAAAATGAGGTGAGATAAATCCCACCTCAAGCGCTTCAAGTAGATTCTAACTTATTTAAACAGAGCACCAGCTCTTACCTTAGCAGAATTAGCAGAAACCAAGAGGAAACAAGTGTTAGGAATGAGTCAGTCTTCTCTCAATGCTCTTTACTTTGAGAGACATTTTTAGAACACAGCATCGTATCCCGTTGTAAAGGCAAGTTCTGCCTTTACGCTAAGTGCACCAAGGTGCAAATATGTTCTCATTTACCTTCAAGGCATTTTTCAAAATTATTTTGTCACATATTGATTAGCCAAGGAATTTCAGTGTGTATTTTTAAAGAGAACCTAACCCTTTCCTATAACTTGTAAAATGTCATGTAGGAAATTAAATCTAACTGAAATTTGTAAATTAATTCCTTTAAACAACTAATGCCTCATCACAAGGATGGAATTCCAGAAATCCACCAATGAAAGCTTGAAATTACAAAGTGGACTTCAAAATCACCATTAGAACACAGAAAACTAGAACACTGGCCAAGGAAAACTGATGGTTTTATGTAGTTTTTTCTACTGTGTATCTTAGCACAAAGAATTAGATAACCTGGATTCTGACATAAATACTCTGTAAGTGTATTAAAGAGCTCTAATGTCACAGCCCATGACGGGAAAAAATACTGCTAAAAGGCTTTCAGCTGCAAACACTAAAATGAAAAGGTTAACTAGTATGATGTGGCAATGTCCTGCTCATAGTTACTGATGTAGTATGATTCACATCCATGGAAAAGCTAGCTCATACCCTTTGGCACAGTGTGTACATGGAAGATGTAACCATGGTGTAATGTATTTTCAGGGGAAGCTGCTGAGTTTAGAAACAAGTTTCTTAATTATTACTACATAAAAAACTCTCAAGTTCACAATTTTTAGTTTAAAACTTTGTAAAAATGATGACTACCTATGAGGTAGACTGTCAGGGATGTACAGGCCCTATATATATTATCACAACAGTAATTCAGCAACAACTGCAGGAGCTAAACCAACTTTAGAGGTTTATGCAGCCTTTGTATATTTAGCCCTTGAGGAGTTAGGAAAAATTATCTGAATTCTAGACCAAGAAAAACGGAAATTCAGTGTTTTCAAGTCTTTAAATCTTCAATTTAAACAAAAGAATAGGTCTCAGTTTTAAATTAAAATACCTGATTTGCTGAATTAGGCTATTTGACTCTAGTGCTTCTTTGCCTTTGGTCTTACCTCTACTAGGAAGCTTTCACAGATCTGGTCTTATTCCAGGGCAACTGGTAACTTACTTTTTGTGAAGGAATTCTCCAGCTGCTACTGCAACAGGCCGGTGTGCTGAATACACCAAGTGATAAACATTCTCGCAGTCTTCATTCGACAGAGCTTCTTCGCTTCCACTGAAAGAGTCACAAAGGAACACCTGAACTAAAACAAATGTTTTATTTCAACCCCCTCACCTCCCATACCTTACTTTTGACAGCTACAAGATTGATTTCCTTCACACAAAATCCTAAATGGTTGAACAGTGACTTCAAGGATCTTAGGTTCAATTTCCAAATACATAGATATTTAAAAGGCCGGAAACTTTGTCTGATTTCCTCCTCCCAGTTGCATCATTACATATATAAATTAATATTATGAAAAAACGTCATCACTGCTTACAAACCTTGCCCTGATTAATTACTCAGACCATCATACGAACTACAATGCACATATTGCAAGATGCCAAACACTCATTATCAAACACGATTAAACTAAAAACCTTGAATGTTATATGAGGAAAATGCAATTGGTTGCTTAAACTTATTTAATTCTCTAGCAGTGTCTGTTTGCTTTCAAAGTTTTTAGTTTTTAACATATTCAGATCTAGGACTGGGAAAAGCTGCTTCAGCCTCCTGACTCACTCCCTTCTCAGGAGTTAAGTCTCTTCACGTGACAGTGCACCTGCTCTTGTGTGCTGTGGGGCAGGACGTGCCCCTCTGCTGACCTGCTAAGTAGGAAGGAATATGCCCAATTCCAGCTGCTGAGAGGGCCAGGCCGGGTGGATAAAACGGCCTCAGCCACGGGAGAAGGCACAGAAATGCAGCAGAAAATGAAACCAGATCACACCACAAAGTGGGGCCACAGAAGTAGCCCTGTGCATCAAACCAACCAAATCAACACACAGTCCCTTCAGCATCGAATCATGGTGTGCATTTCGAATTAGAATAGTGCTCATATAATAAACGGTCCATCACTTTTACAGTAGTTACTGTGCTGACTAGGTATAGACTTTATTTACAGCATCAAGGAATTGAATCTGATCATACCCCGCTGTGCTGGATGAAAGATGATGAAAAGTTTATTTTCTATAATTATTTATTGACAAGAACATGCCACGTTTTACTCTTGTCTTGGGTAAGCAACATAATTAGGGCTCCTGCAGTTTCTGAGCTCAAGGCAGATTCTGTGTGTGAATTTTCTGAAACTCAGAAAAACTTCCAGTTTTCATCAGTATTCTCAAAAAATGCTATGAGCCACAGAACAATTATATTCCATCAATGGGATCAAAACATCACGACTGTTGCATACCGGAATATTACTTACAAACTTGTTTAGTCAGCATTCATCAGAAACATTTATGTACCATTTGGCTTCATACCACAAACAGTTTTTAATTGTTATTCTCCATCATGTTTGTTCATCACATCATTTTGGAGTTTTTACCTGCCAGAATATTGCCCTGTGCTGTTCAATGTGACCCATATTCTTCTGGTGCTAAACACATTTAGCTATGTTTTCATCATGCAAGCAAAGAGAAAACAGGACAAGAAAAAAAGGTGCACTGGGTAATTTTTGACCTAAAACCTTACAGTGTTCCCAAATGTTGCTCATACTGTTGGGAATAGATGTGTTCTACATCTCATTTGTGATCATATTTATTATATCTGCTTTAAAAACGTAACAGCAGACAAGATTTCCTTTCCTCCAAATATCACAAGTCTAGTATCTGTAAAGCAGAGTGACCCAGAAATAAAAAAAAAAATAGGTCCAGACTTCTCTACAAAGAAGACGCGCTAGTCTAACCTTGCATTCAAATTAAGCATGTCCAAAAAAGTTCTTCAAAGTGGTGCCACTTGGTGAAAGGTATGATGCAGAAATTCTACGCATCTGTTTGTAAACCAGGTTTTCTTTAACATAGGATTTAATGAATACATAATAAAAGCCTAGCAGGGTTCCTCCAGCAGCACACTCATGAGGCTGCTGTGGACAGGCTGGTTCAGTCAGCACGTGGGATGATCTTTGGACTGGCTTTTTCCCTCAGGGAAGCCGCTGCATCTCTGTCAGAAAAAGCTGGGGGCCTGGAAGCATGTCTCCTCCTGCATGGACAAGTGTTTAAAACTGCAAGCTACCACTGCCACCTCCACATAACCCAAACAGGGGTGTTGAAGCTAGCATCTTCCCCCTGTCCACTTATTTACTGGATGACTCTCTTTTCAGCTGTCAGGTAATCAAGTCTCCTAACATTGAACCTCTGCTTAGTTACTGCTGGAGTTATTTCAGCTAATGTAACCTACAGGTGCTTGGTTTTGGGAGGACAACCATTTTGCCCATGGCAAAAGGTAGAAATGCCCCATGGCATACTTCCACACAGTGGATGCACTAATAGTCTCAATACATCAATATATTTTTGTACTTTGCCGATTGTATTTCCCTGAGATGGAACATCTTATTTTAGCTTCATCACCAATTATTACATATTCAGTTCAACTTCAGACTAAGTGTAAAGTAACAGATTCACTGCATTACACAAGCAAGGAAATCAATTAAATATTACTGACTTAGGTAACTTTCAAAGGGAATAGACTGGTTTTGAAAAATACTCACTGAAGTATTAGCGTGACTAATCGAATGGCTTCCACAGCAACATCATATTCCTTATCAAGTGTCATTGATACAATGCGATCCTGAAAAGGAATTTACGACAGTGACAAAACAGAAACACACCAACAGCTACCAGATGAAGAACTCTTCAGGTTACAAAACAGACACTCTTGGAGAGAAAGATCTTTCAACTAGACATGAAAGCCCTTTCATATTATTCAACCACTTAATGTACATCTTAGGGAGTGTGTGCTCTGTGCACAATGAAACAATAGGCAAGTACTCAGGAATGAGAACAAGGGCTTAACAAACAGCCCTGATCCTTGTGTTGTTTCCAGGAAACAAGCAAGCAGACTTTGGAGTTGAAGCACTGTTCCGGACTGGTCTTATTTAACAGTTCTTTTCCTGAAAAAGAATGTACTTGAGTTGGATGACAGCAGAAAAATTTCACTGCTTCATCCCTCTGAAACCAGTAATTTTAGAGCAACAAAGGCTGCATATATTCATATTTGGAAATACTGTGAAGAAAATCACACCTGAATATATGCATCTGCATTTTGCCTACAAAGTTGTGGTCTCTATACCTGGCAACATCTTAATGTTTGAAGCTGATCTCAAGAATTACACTACAGACCTTCCACAGGAAAGCACGAAATTCTGTGATTTGGCTTTGTATTTTCCTATAGTCTTTCTAGTGGAGACAAGGACACCACTTCCCAGTCTAATGTAATGATTTTGTAATTTCTCAGGACCCTGTAGTGATGAGAAGTCTCCTCAGTGTTACCTTCTCCTTAATTTCAGTTGGCTTACTGGCAACCAAAACCAGATGTGATTAATGTATGTTGTCCTCCCTATCTGGGGAGAATTTCTATCTATCCATAAAAATGCATTATGTCTTGATGTTCTCTGCTTGACTGATCGAGTTAATGAAAAGAATTTGGGCCATCTGAAAATAAAACTTGATTTCTCTAGCTTGACCTGCTTCAGGAAGGACTAGCTACTACATGCCATTTTGGGATGTGAAAAAATAGAAGTCAAGGACTGGAAAAGAAACAAGTGAAGTGCTAAGAAACAACAGTGAAAGTCACCAAGAAGAAATCAGGACAAAATAAAGGTGTTCACCTCTTTTCTCTACTATTCCAGGCATTTAAATGCTGAAGGTGAATATCTAGCAACTGATGCTTATTTCAGTACTGAAATTTAGGAATAATATGTAAAGAATGCATTGTGGCTGTCTCAAGTGTTACCCCTCAACAAAACCATCTCTGTGGAGATTCTTTGTGTCACTATGACTGAATGCTCCTCTGTCAACCATCACTAAGTTCCTGGGAAACAGGATGCATTTAACTGTTCTATCTAGACAGGTTTAGACACTGTAAAAGTCCATGAAGAGACTCAAACAGTGAAATAATTTTCCAAACAGTAAATTCTGTATATGGAAAAGACATTAAAAATGCTGTCAATTTTCCCTAAGGTTCTGGACAAGAAACAACTAATAACAACAACATCAAGAGAAAGAACAGCCAGAGATACTGACCTTAAAAGTTTCAGTGGAATTTCATGTTCTCCCAGAAAGTGTATCTTAAACTCCAGGATACCACAGGGAGGGAACTAACTGCTCACAAGTATAAAATTCCTCTTACATCTGTGAAAAAGCGTGGAAGGGATGGGGTCTTTTCTCCTACCTACAGGGCAAGAGGTACTCTAAGTTTGGAGTCCTCTGGGACTCTGAAACCAATTGATGCGACAGTGTTTTCTGTTTTCTCCTCTCATTTTTTTTCCTAGAAACATCAGGCTTAAAATAAACTGTGTGGATGTGTCATTTTTATTTTCTGCCTTGGTGCCGGCATCTCTGTGTGATGACAGCTGCCAGCAGGCACCAAGATCCTTGAAAATGAGACCTGAACACCTAAGGCCTCTGGAAGGTGTAACTTCTGTGGCTTAGTAAGCTGCAAACCCCAGCTGCTCACGCTGCTTTGACAGAAATTTCCTGTACCACTGTGCAGCAGCCGAACAGGACACAGGCCTGTATTTGTAACTTGAAATATTAACTTTCACTGTCTGTGAAGATCAGTTTGCAATTAGGCACTAGGCTGTGAACAAGGCTGGTTGAAGAGCAAATCTATCTCCTTCTGCATCTCCGGCCACGGAGACAGCACTCTCCTGCAAAGGGTCAGGGATGAGGGACAGGAATTAATCGGCTGCACCTAAATCTGCTAGTGTCTTGACTTTGGCACTGACTGCAAAAGAGCTAATTCACATCTTTTCCACATGGCATCAGTTAATGTTTGTATCAAACAGAAAATCTCCTCTGATGGGGAAATTCCTTTTTGACAGACAAAGCTTATTTTCTAGCCTATCACCTACTCCCAGAAACACAAACATATGCTGGAAAGAACACACATTTCCTTTGGAGAAGTGACATTATCAGATCCTTGTCACAGCTATCTGGAAGGTGGTGAAATATTAACACCCCAGTACAAGTCATTCTGGATCAAACTAATTTATACTTTAAACAGCTAGAAGATCTCTAGAGAGATTTCTCTTGACAGTTTGAATGGATTGGGCTGAACACCAGCTGAACTGTGCAGGTCAATTAGAGTCTGATGGGGAAATATAAAAAAGCAGCCATGGAATTGAGAACAACATTTAGGCCAAGACACTGATGTATCACAGATTCAAAAAGCATTAATTTGAAACTTTGCTCCATCCTGATGCCAAAGGCCACAACCCAGTCAGCCCAGCTGTAAATCCAACTGCAGGCATTTGGGCAACGCCAGCTTTTTTGTTCTCTTGATGTGGCTGGAAACTGAACCTGATAAATCATCTGTTAAGCATATCTGTTCTCTAGGCTCACAGAGACTTTGAACTCACCTTTTCTCTAATTTATTTCATAATGATATAGATTTCTGTAGTAAAACCAGCTTTAATGGAACAGAAGAAAGTCAAGAATTTCTAATAGGGTTAGGATAGAAATGGAAATTCCTTGTGCCATTCTAAGTCAAGAAGCAAAGCACAACCTAACTTCTAAGGCTAACCTAACTTCTTCTAACAAAGGAAATTGTTTACACTCTGAAAAAGCCAGGAGGAATATTCAGAGGTTTCCTGTTCCTGTAGATTTTTGAAATACATTACTGAGTAACTGTTTCTCAAAGTGCCTCCAATTGCCTTGAAAATTTTGCTGGTGGATGGGACAGGTTCAGACTCAAAGCAGAATTTTCTCTTACAAATTACAGGAGGCTGAGAGAAGCATCCAGCACATTTTGTAGTAAAGAGAAGCAGATACAGAGACCACGAGAGTTTGAGGCCTATTTTGAAATAAATCAAATTACTGAAGGAGCAAATATAAATAAATCTAAGCCTGCACAGATGGAACAAGGAAAGCAGTGGAGTTGGAGGGTTCATTTTTCTGGAGAGTTGACTACCGTTCCTGGTTGCCTTGAGATAATAAGCAAACCAGACTTGGGGAGGCATTACAGAAGCACTCTTAAGGTCTGAACCTGTTTGCCCAGTACTCTTCTGTGAGAGGAAACGTTGTCTTTACTGCAATAGTCCCAGAAACAGACTTTATAAAATCAGAAGAATACAGGCCCTCAAGTGATCTCACAAAATGATCTAGCTTCAACTCCTACTTTGAAGTCAACTATACATAGTTCATTCCTGACAGATATTTATTTAATCTGTCCTTAAAAATCTGAAATTAAGGAGATTATTAATAAAGATTCTAATCTATTCTCTAACTATCACTCTGGACAAATAGCCTTCCTTAATATCTAGACTGTGCTGCAGTTTAAGCATCTTTTTTTCTGCATCTCAAGTGAATGTGGTAAAAGGCTGATTACCATTATGTTTTTATTAATTGTTTACATGCAGGGATGATATGACTAGTTATCTATATTTTGTGCTTTCCTAGATCAAACTGGAGAAGTAAATAGTTACTGCAATGACAGACAAAACCAGTGAAGCAGTATAAAATCTACAGTGAGAATGGTAGTTATTTATGAGTATTTAAATCTCCACTTCTTTTCTAAACAGAAGTTTTCATCAGCATTATAATCACAATTTACACAAAAATAAATTAAATTAGTCTTTCCTTGGTGGGTAGCCTTTACCACAGCTATGTTCTCCGGAACACAAGAGCCATGGTATAAGTTGCCAACTGACATGGTGACAGTGCCTGAAAGATTTCTTCGTAGAGCATCCAAACAGAAGCAGTGACAGTATTTCTGCACTCATCTCTCCAGACACTTTACTTGTGAAACAAAGCAGTTGTGCCACTAAGTGAAATAACAATGATGTTCTCATCAAGATTAAGCAAAATGTCAGCATGTCTGTGCTAGTAAGAAAAAAACCCCATGAACTTCCAGTACTTCTCTCCTAAACAAGACACTCATGCTCAGGGGTTTGTGTAAAAGCACAATGTGAAGTCCTGTTCTGCGGTCAGGCATTCCACTGCGTAGAATGTTGCGATGCGGATCGAAGTATCCCTTCCACCAAACACAAGCACACATTCAGCTAAAAAGCTGTCTTACAAACAATCTTTTCTTACAGGCTGTTACTTTCAGGTGTATTTCAGAATGTGTGAAACACGCAGTACATGTCCTTAAAATTCAGTAAATCCAAAATTAAGAAGGTACAAGCAAATTGAATAATGTCAATACATAAACTATCAATAATACAAACAGCTAAATAATCATCCTGGCCAAGCCTGATAAATCTTACAAGATAAACACTGTAAAATGAATTTGGCTTAATCTCAGCATTCAGTAATACAGTTTTACTACTGCAGTTACAAGCCTTGTCACACACAAATGAGTTTATTTTTGCATTTAATATACACGCCTCAAAGACTGCAACAGGATGAGATAGATAACATTTTTATTTTCTGTACTCCTTCCAAAAACTGTATTTCCTCTTACCTTGAATCTATTAGTGAACAGCTCCAGTTTTGGAAATAACTCTCTGTTGGTATACAGACTCTGAAGAGCTTTCAAACACTTCAACCTCACTTCACCTTGCTAAATAAAACACACTAAGATTAGCTGACAGAATACCCTAATCAAATGCACATGAATATTAAACAATATCATATTGTAATTTGTTTAATGTACATTTAAAATTTTATGCAAATCAGTTAACCAAAGCCAATTTGCAATTCAGCTAAAAACCAAAAACCACATGCAGCTGCCTCTAAACAATGTTAAATTTTCTCCCTATTTGCATACATAAAGAATTTAATGTGCCATCACTTAGACGCCTGTTACTGTTTCCCTTTCAAGTAACTCCACAAAAAGATAAAGAATGCAGCAAGTAAATACAAAATAAAGACCTATGATCTCAAGGTGGCTGGTGAAGACCCTCCAGTGGGGAGCAGGCTGCTGCCACGTGAAAAACGCATCTAAGCCACAGCCCAAGAAGCCCAAGGGAAGAAGAGCAGCTTGTGTCCGTCTTAAGTTGTTCTGGTGGCAGCAGCTCATTCCCAGCTGCCCTTTAGATGGGGATGGCTTTGATCTGGTGGGCTGTAGGCAGGAAATGTCAATGGCATGAGACAGTGCCTATGGGCCGAGGTTTGTCACCTATAGGAACATCGATGGTAAAGAGGAGGGCTGGATCTCCCGTGCACATCCACACCATCTGGCTGGCTGCAACAACTCAGCTCAACTGCATCGTCTTGGCAAACTAGGGATTCTTGTTGAAAAATATTTGTAGATAGCAAAAAGGTTATAAACACAAACCTGCACAAATGCTATCGGTAGAGCGCACTGCAGTGTGAACTTACTTTTATGAAAGTGAGTACACTACCAAGTCGAAGTGCTCAAGAACCAATACAAATTATTGGACTTCATAAATAAAACTCCATTACCCAGAGGGCTTTGTTTCTGAGCCTGTCTATTCTATAATCAAGCCTGTATTTAAAAAACTGCTGAAGCTAAGAATTGAAAGAACATTCAGAGACTGATATGAAATCAGAAGCTAAAAATCCTTATTTTTAAGTTTCTTTCCTCCTTCCCATTTGTTTCAAAAATTGAAATAGAAGATAGAGGAAGAAAAGAAGTTGGAAGGAGGATTTTCAGAACAACTTTTCCTCAAACAACTATTGTTCATGAGAAATCATGCCTTTGTATCTGCAAGGAATCTCTTGAGAACTCATGCGCTGTTCTAGGGATCTTTTTGACTACCACTGCAAAGAATATTAATGAGATGAAAGTTATGCTTAAAGGATCTATCATAAGATCTTTCAAGGTACAGAAAAGATCTTTCTTGAAGAGAAAATTAATATGGATCTGATCATCTGCTAAATAAGCACACAGAAATGCTGCAGAGAAAGGCCAGGAACTCTGGAGTCATCACTAATGATCAGAAGGGGATGAAAGCCCCTGAAGGCCTTAGCGTATTTAACCACAGAAGATCAGTATCAGTTTTGGCAAGTGATGAACGCTACAGAGCAACAGCGAGGCAGCAGGTTTAGTTACAGCTCCACTGAAGACTGTCCCACTTGTGAGCAGATGGCTTATTATCCAGCCAGTGTTTTAGTCCCAAAATGCAAAACTCAACATTGGTTAGGTACAGGAAAAAAACCCTCAGTGCCAACAGCAATGAGAATCGAGACCTCTGCAGGTAAGATTTGGATTCTCCATAAAGTTCAAAGCCCTTGTGGGCTGAACACCATGGATCAACGCTGCTATCCTCCTGCCACGCACCAGATCTGAGGTAGAAGACTTAGTGCCTGCGGGAGCAGGTGGGGAAAAGGGAAAGATTGTGTTACACCCGGTCCCTTTAGCTGAGAGCAACAGCCCAAGAGAGAGAGGCGATCCCTGGAAACAACTGCCTTTCTTGGCAGACAAATGACAGGAGGACAACTTTCTCTGACAGCAAAAAGGTCTGGCTTTCAAACTGTTGGTCAAGGATGGAATTCACCTGTTTGGAGAGGGAAAAGCCCCTGCAGTCAGCTTGTTAATCCTATTGAGAAAGTTTTAAAATACTCAGCAGAGATTAGGAACGCACAGGGAAGCATAAACAACTATGTTCTGGATAGGAATCTAAGAAAGGCAGAAGTGAAGGTGCACATGGATACACTGCACTGAAGCCCAGCATGGAGGAGTAGACGTCCCACAGACCACCAACATGCCAGATATGAGATGTTTCTTGAGTAACTATGAAAATCATCCAAGTAACGTGAGCTTTTAACACCCCAAACACTTTCTGGGGCAAGAAACACCACAGAAGTTTCTTATCCAACAGACAGTAAGTGGGTGGGAATGCTAAAGTTAGGGTTATTCCTAAGAAACTTATGCCAGGGTAAAAGTTGCAAACACAGTGATGCAGAGCAAGGACAGGAAAAGTCTTACTTAACTAAGACATGAACTTATTTGACTAATGAATTGATTAGGAGGTCAAGCACAAGAGGACTACAAAACACAGAAGAAGATAAAATAAAAAAGGCCCGGGCACAGTATGGAATGGACGTAAGAGGTAATGAAGAAAACTTCCTGTAAATATTTTTGTAGCACAACACAGAAAAGTTGGTTTGCTTTGAAGGAAGAGGAAAACCTAGTTGTCACTTCTTATGTGCACAGTGGGTAGGAAAATAAATAATAAATTAGAATTATAACACAGACTATTTAGCTTACACAAGGAAGAACTTTTTAGTGGCACAATTAAGCACTCAAACTGCTACTGGGGAAAAACCAACAATAGAGGTTTTTTTAAAAAATATGACTGTGAAACACTGTGGATATACAGTGAATTCTGCCATAAGCAGGAAAGGAATAAGCAAAAAATATTTCCCACAGTAGATTTTGGGCACAGGGCACATTTTTGACAGTTCTGAGCTGAAGTTCATAGTGAGTATGATTCAACCTAAGGCAGCAAATGTTTACAACCATGCAATACCTTTAATTCTGTTAATTAAAGAAAATGAGCATCGCTTTCCAGCTATTTTTGTGCAGTCACATCTATGCTTTACAGACAGAAAGAATTTATCTGCAAGGAAAGCCTTGCCCTTTGCTAAGTAAATAACAGACAAAGTATTTGCATTCTCAGCATTCTAATGACTAAGATCTCACATAATCCTGAGTTCCTTCTTCCAGAAAAATACACTTACTTGGGGGTTTGTCCAATTTATAATTGTGACACTTGATTATTGCAGAATCCTGAATTCATCCACAGTGTCATCGGTTCTATGCATGCCTCTTTCTCAAGTCTAATTAGTCCTGTAACTCTCCTTCTCTCAAAGGGGGTCATTATTTATACATTATTATTATTTTTGTAATATAAAATCCTTTTTCATGAATATGAGAAATGCTTTACACTAATGCTTAATTGCTAATGCTTTCTTTTATTTACCATTTGAAATTAAAACCTAAATCAAAAACATCAAATGTTTATCAACACTGTTAAATGACAAACATTTATCATATTTTCCCTATTACTGTTGATACTCCAGATGCTTCTGAGTTTTGGAAAAAAAATTGTTACTACTGCTAATGAAGCAAAAAGCAATACATACACCTTTCATGCCAGCAGTGTGGGGTAGTCTACATTTGTCTGGGAGAGTCATGCTCTACTCAAAATTCTCTTTAATATGGCAGGTCTGGGAAAAAGAATCCATCCTGATGGAAGCACATAATTTTCATATTTTTTCCATGCTAATCACAGGACTCGAACAACATTCTGTAACTCTGGTGTAAGCCTCACAGTGATCAACGTCTGCCATCAAGCCAAGTAGATGCCTGCTGATGTTCCATACAGCTGATACTTTCGACTACTAGGTTTGCCATCTCCCAGTGAGAACCAGACTTCTCTGAACATTCAGGGATACCACAGCTCCAGAAATGGTAACTGAAGGTGCACTGCTATGTGTCAGCTCACACGCCAGACGAAGGCTTAGATCACACAGAGACCATGACTTCTGAGCTCCCAGAAACACAGTTTAAAGTTGGGGTTTTTTTTTAAGTAGGTGTGTCGTTAAGAGAGACAGCAAAGCCGTTTCTTCTCTCTTCACACTTAATGTTTCTTCTTTTGGATTTTTCCAATTTTTTTTTGGTGACTAAGGGTATTCTGCTCTTTTTTTTAAATTTACCAGGTTTTAATAACAGATAATTAATTTGCTCAGCTGTTCACCCTATCATATTTCTGCAGACTGCACTGTTCATTTTTAAGTTTGTCTCTTGTGTAGAAAAATGACCTAAATTCCTGGGCATCTTCAATCCCACAGTTTATGGGATGACTGTGATATACTGTGCTGCATACTGATGCTCTGGAGTGGTGTATTTTGAGGTAAACTGCTGCCTAATGACAGAAACAGTTACACTGCCAGGGAGAAGCAGAAGAAAATGTCCTGCAGCACATCAGCACCTATGGCAGGAGTTCTCCTGGCAGGAGCAAGCAGTTGTGCTGTCCTGCACAGGCCCACTCAATATCATTTATGAAGACACTGTGTATCATCTGATCCATTTTGATTTTCTCAAGCTTTCCCAAAACCAAGGAAATTAGGTGCTAATATAAAGTTAAACATTCAGAAGTTTGGAAAAACTACCATTTCAGTTTCTATTTAATCTTAATAAACACAAGCTCTGTTTTTTCATCCTGTAAAGTTAGGATTCATCACAATGAAGTATTCAAATACCATCTGTTCCAAAGGGCCCAGGGTCCATTTCTTTCACAGAAATAGACAATAAGTAAAGTAGAGACATGCAAGGAAGGAAAAGGCATTTTCTTTTGTGTTAAGGACTGATTTAAGAACAATGACTGCCTAGGTATCTGGAGACACAATTATGTTTTCAAAACAGTTCCATGCATCAACAAGGCAGGTGAAAATTAAGACTGGACAGTGTGATTTAACACACCTTTTTTTTTTTTTGCGCAATTATATTATAGTTTTAGATATGCTCCCAGATCCATGGGAATGAAAAAGATGAGAGAAAAGGAGAGCAAGGCAGAACTAGAAATCAATATTCAAACAAGAAAGCAATCTATACAAAAAGCAAATAGCCCTATAGACATTCATCTGAAATCTGGGAAAGAGACAGGATTAACATACAAAATATACAAATTGCCCAAATTAGAGAACTAAGCTTCTGTATCCCAGCTCTGAAAGACTACACTGGAGCTACTACAAACAAGTCTAAGAATTGTCTCTCCCTGTAGTTTAATTTGTATGTCTTCTGACAAAGAATATAAAACTGCTCATGATTCCCTCTCTTTTGTAGTAGCAAGCTTACAGAGAAGTTAATCATTTTGGGGTGACTTCTGTTCATATGAAATGGAAATACCGTATGTCTTCATTTTTTCAATATTTTAACTACTGATCATGGCAAAAATTATCTCCTGGTCAAAGCAAAGCAAAGTCAAGAAAGCTGGGTAGTGGCTGGCAAGTTTTTCAGGTAGTACCAATGAAAATGATGCTGTTTAGGGATCTTGTACTTCTGGAGGGTTTGCATTTTTAATTGGCTCTTATTCCATCTTTTTTCAACACGTTCTTCCCATTGCATGTCCTTCCTCCTTTCTGTGTCTCCCCAGATGTCTCTTTCTCTCCGCTCTCTCCCTTTTCATCCTTTAACACATGGCTTACCTGACTCTGACTCTTCCTCTGTTGTACTTAAAATCTGTCTCACCCTATACATTAAACGTACACTATATCAATAAAAAAAAATCACATATCATGTACATCAGGACATTAAAGAGATAAGCTAGTGATTTAAAGACTGAGATCCCCAAGGCACTTCTGAAGCCTGCAATGATAAATATTACAAAGCAAGCATAGGCAGGAGAGTAGCCCAGTAGAATTCTTCAGTGTCTGGTCCAGAGAGCAAGCCATTCCTTTTACCGTAACACCAAATGTTAAAATTTGTCTAACATGAAAGAACATACTAAATTTTTAAAAAGCTGAGGTAACAATATATATTAAGGCTGCAGGGAGATGAGTAGAGTCTGGCCTGAGGTTAAGCTAACTGAAGAGGATGTGAGAAACAACTGGATGCGACATGAGAAAGAGCTGGATGTGACAGAGCAGAGCGTGAGAAGCTGACACCAGTCACAGAGAGTGCCATGAGAAACGGCTGGATTTCACAGATGGTTACAGGGAGTTATGTGAGAAATGGCTGGACTTCACAGATACTAGAAGGGGACTGAGAACTGTGAAATGCAAGTTTACTGGTTTCCACCATCCTACTGAAGCGCTACTTCATGGAAACGTTCTGCTAGGATTAGAATGTGCTCCAAAATATCTACCACAACTACTCGAGGACTAATTTATTTTTAATTAAAAGCTCTCCACCACACCTAAAATCCTAATCCTTCAACCTGACTTGACCTCCCCACTGATTTCATAACTTGAAGCAGTGATCTCCGCCTCCTGAAGCATGCCGACTAGTAGTGAGGTGCACCAATGCTAAAAATGAGGCACACAGCAACTCTGCCCCTCAAAGCACTGTGATGGCCACGTTTCCACGTCCAAGCTTTAATGACGGGAAGTGTAGCGTCCCTAGAGTAAACAGTGGTCATGGCTGATTGTGTCAGTAAGCGGGATCTTCCTCCTCATCAAGTTTTGTAACAATGAAATGCAACGTAAGAGTTTGGAGAAAGTTTAAAAAGTAAAAGTCTGAGAACTACAGGTTTAGAGAATAAAGATGTCACATATCTAGTCTTTAAAGCACACAGCATACTCGTAACAGTAAACTGCTGTCCAGATCATGGTAAGATGCAGATCCTTGTCAGCCACTGCTAAAGCAAAAGAACCAGCAGCAGCTAACTTCTTTTCCTAGCGAAAGCTAAAATCTTCCTAACTGACCTTGTTCAGACTTCAGCAAGAGTGACTGAGTCATATCCTCAATGTTAATATGCTGCCCAAAGATAATGAAGAAATCATCTTTTTAAAGAATCAGCTGTTAGCTACCAGTTATGCAAGTCACCAGAATGAACTTGCAAACTTTTAAATTTTTCCAGCAGTGCTCCTAGAGAAAAAAGAATAGTCTGAATCCAAAGGCTGGAATTAATGAGCATTTCAACAGCATGGGTAGGTCTCATCTGTTTTCCTTGGACAACGTCAGCAAAAGACTTTAGAGTAAAACAAGGGTTTCTGGTGGTTTTGGCGAGAATGGGAGGACAGCTAGTCTCAGCTGCTGCCTGGTGTACAGAAACTCCCCAGAGTCAGAAGTGCAAAGTCCTGTCCTGTTAGCGCTAGGACCAGGCTGCTCTTCCTGCAGGAACCGCATGGTACTTAGGCCTGTCGCCACCCAGCAGAGGCATGCTGTGTGGATACCATCAGTATAGAGAACTGTGGTGAGACAGGAAAGAACCCCTGGATACGAATCTTTTTGGTTCCACCTGGTGTTTCAACAATTTTTTGAAGAAAATCTAAAGAGAACCTTGAAGAGATTCTTCAAGGGAAAATGAATTAAAGAGTATTCCACTGGTTGTGAAGCCAGTGATGTCTGTTGGAGATCCAGAGATGTTCTCTTTCCTCTAACTGCTGGGCAATGCAAACACATCCGGAAATCTCACACAAAGGTTCTCAGGGTGATCTCAGAAGCCTTCTCTTTCTCTTGTAATCAGAAGAAAAGCATCATGGAAATATTTTTATTAAGATATTCTAATGGAGACTGAAAACACAAAAAGCACATGAGGCAGGCACGCAGTTTGGGACTACTGTATCCTAATTTAAGAGACTATCTTGAAATAAGCTGGTGGAAAGATAAATAACGGGCAAGAAAAAAAGAACAATCTCTTTACAAATCAAAGATGACATACTAAACATGTCTCAGGCAGTGTAACATCAGCTACCTAGAGTACACTCTGCTACAGTAATACACAATACTTACCCTGTCATGTAGTGTCCAACCAACGTATTTTAAATAACTATCATTCAGGAAGGCATCACTGTACATTTTCATCCAGACACCTATTTCTTCAATACAGACAGCTCTAATCTCAGCAATAGCATCACTAATAAAGAAAAAAGAAAAGAAATTTATTAACCAGATTGAAGACACAAACCATTTATTTCTCATTCCCACTGCCCCAGCTATAACACTGTGCTTTTAGTTTTGATGAACTTCACTATGTAGGGTCTGCTGTCTCCCTGATTTTCAGTTCCTTTATGTCCTGGAACTCACTGATCTCATAATTTCAATATTTCTACATTCAGATATGATATTTTCATTATCTCAAGAAATTCTCACCCTAGTTTGCTTCTTAGTCTATTACTCCATCTTTTACCTCCATATTTTCCAACAGAATTATAAATCCAAGCTAAAACCCTTCTCTAGACAATAAATTCTGAAACACTGTCACAGGCATAGCACGCTTGACTCTCTCTACCCAGAGGTGTAGAACAATTGCAAGGTGAAAGCTATTTGGTTTAACCAAAGGAAACTGCCAGAGGGGCAGAATGGAATGTCGTACTCAAACAGATCTTGTTTCACGCACCGCATGAAAGCCCCTGTAACAAAACCCAGGAGATTGTTTATGTTTCAACATTGCTTTCTTACAGTTTTCTTGCTTTTTTTACATTCTGACTCTAGTAAGTGATGGAAGAGGCAAAGACATATCTCAGGCAGATTTATCAGCTGCTTATTGAGGAGGGGCAGCAGGAAACTGTCTGGAGAGATCATCTAAAGAGATCAGGGATGGAAATGATTTCAATCTGATTGGCACTTTCCTGCCTGACTGACATAGAGCATGGCATATTTACTAATAATGAACGACGGCTAAACAACGGGAAAAGGGATTGGGGCCATCTGGCCCTTTAGTAATTTCATCTCTGAGACATCTGTTACTGTGAGAAATCGCTTGTGCCACTCCAGCTGGCACTGCTTCACAGTTCAAAATTTCAGCTGTAATAAAAGAGGAACATAAAGAGCCACTGTGCAGAAGAAGACAATGTCTGATGCTTTGCAAACACTGGCCTTGCTTATAATTGAGACTCTTGTTCTATATTTTTATTAAGAAGTCTTTTTGGAAAGGTAATAAACATCACCTTAATTGTAAACAGCACCAAAAGAGTCCAAAAATGAAATCTAATATATTAAAAAAACCAAAACAAAACAAAGGATTAAGATGCCAAGCTTTAAACAACAGAAAAATTGCAAAAGAAGAGAAATTGTAGGTTTTCTAAAGTCTTAATTTTTACAAAACATAAGTAAAATGCACTCCATCTTATGCTCAAGATACTTCCTGTGTAAGTTCATACACCCAAAATAGTGTAATAAAACCATGATTACTCTATACTGTAATTATCCGTGTACTTGCACACTTCAAACTGGCACCACCTCGGTAGGTGCCATTCTACTGTATACGATCTTCCAGACACCAAGGTGAAAACCACAGTTCCTACATGAACATGGCAATCAACTGCAGTATCATACCTGGCTAGAAGTGACACTTCGACAGTCCGGTCTGTTTTTCTCACCAAATTTTAGATGACAGGGAAAAAACTGTGCTGATGGAATGGCATAAAACAAGCACTTAAAGCTAATGTGTGTAGGAAGGCCATCAAACCACTATCATTTTCTCTTTTTGCCTACGTGAAACAGACTGGTTCTCTCGACTTCCAAACAGAATCATTAAAACTGGTCTGCCAAACTCCCTGAAGACTCTGTAACCTCAAAACCAAGGTAACTGTCAATCCACAATGTAGACAAGCTGCACAACAAGCAGAGTAGGACATTAAATAAGCTGTTCCTACAAGGGATCTCTCGAACAGGTTTTAGATACTGTAAGGGTGAATGTGCTGCAGTATTACATTCAAGACTTTGCACTATAAAAAATGCATTCGTTATGAAGAATGCAGACACAATGAAGACAAGTTTTAATTAAAAGTATGGCTACATTTTCATATATATCTCTAATAAGTATATAATTTCACACTAAACAAAAGTAGCAATACTCTTTTATGGAATTATTTTAAAACTATTTTTAAAACAAAATATAGTTAGAAGAAATCAGAATGCAGGACAAAGACCAATCTAAAAGACCAATAAGTATGAATGAAGAAAATAGAGGAGAGCCACATAGGCAGCAACACAAACTTGCCATGAAGACATTTTCACTAGGGGATGACAGCCTGAGTCCTGACTTCCAAGTAGGTTATTTCATCACCTTATAAATCTACTAATGTGAAGCATTTTGGAAGGATTTAATGCAAATCCCAAAAAGAACCCAAGTGTCAACAGCTATTTAATCATGCAGCACAGCCAGCCAAAAATCAGGAAAATCTATCTTTTCTGTAAGAACGCATTCAAGCTTCCCTAGGCAGACAGTGAAAAACTGATTCTTAATTCAAAAGCTCCTCAGGGGTCCCTGGGCACTATGGAAAAACCCTCCAAGCTGCTATTTATAATTAAAAAAAAAAAAAACAACCCAAAACTCCAAACAAAAAAACCCTAAATAAAACAACACACCCCCCTCAAAAAAAGAGAAAAAGCTATTCTGCCAATTATAAGATGTAGTATAATAAAAATTTAATACCTTTAGGATAATTGAATTAAGTATTTTAATTAAATAATTAAATACTTTAAT